AGGGTGCATCGATTTCGGGGCTGCAATGTGCCAGAACTCGAGTTTTGGCACGTTGCAGCTTGGGCAAAGAAATCAGCGATTCGGGTTTCGCATCGGTTTCTGCAGTGCTTTCCTGGAAGAAACGAAAACCCGAGGTTTTTGAACATTCGCATGTCTTTCTATCGCAATTTCCGGTGTTCCGTGCCTTCTCCGTTCCCGCTTTGGCTTGCAACTCGGCTGCTTTGCTTCTGTGGCCTTCGTCTGTTCTCGTTTCTCTTTCTCTTTTTGGTTTCTTGGGGGGGTGGGGAGGGGGATGGGGGGGGAGGGGATGTTAACGTCCATGGCGATGCGGCTTGTGATATTCGCTTATGTGTTTCTTCTTATTTTATCTGCCTTCGTGGGAGGGTGGCATGGGACCTGGGGATGTTAACGTCATTTAACGTCCATGACAATGATTTTCTCCATGGCATTTCGGATGCTTCTTTGCGGCGGCCGCAGTTGTTTTGTGAGTGTCTGTTGAGTTTACTATGTCGCACTGCATGATGCTGTCACGTTTGTGCTTACCACGTCGCTCCGAGCTGTGCAAACAGTTCCTCTTGCTCTGCACTCTGTCTCTCTAGTGTTCAAAGTAGGCTAAGAAGCTCATGGTGATGATGATGCTCATAAACACCTGAATGCTGCTCCTTGAAATGATTCTGACGAGACAGGTGTTGGTCAGGAGCCTGATGATGCTGATGATGATCTTGCTGAGGGAAATGACAATGTTCATGTTGATGGTGATGATGATGATGGTGGTGATGAGTACAAGCATAAGGATGACGATGACAATAACTATGATGATACCAGCCAGACTGGGAATGTTGCTGCATCCTGCTGTTGTTGTCATGTTCTACACGACGCGGACCCGCAACAATAAAAAACCACTGTGTTTACGATGTTCTTGCACAAGCACAAGACAAAAACTTTGAACATCAACCCCAAATCAGCCAATACAAACAATGAAAACCACGGTTTTTGCGACAAATGCGCAAAAACGGCATCAAAACGCAGGAAAAAACCAGGAACATCCAAAGAACAAAAAGCATGTCTGATTCACGAAGACCACGCAAAAATGACACCCTTCGTGGCGGCAAACGTGCCCCCAGCCTTGTGGATCCTTGTGGTTGTCGCTGTTGCTGTTGCTGTTGTTGTTGTTGTTGTTGTCGTTGTCGGTGTTGTCCTTGTTGTCCTTGTTGTCGTTGGTGTTGAGACTCGTGTTGGTAGTTGACGTTGTTTTGGTTGTCGTGGTTGATGCGGCTGTGGTTGATGTGGTGCTGGTGGTGGTGGTGGTGGTCGTCGTCGTCGTTGTTGGTGTTGGTTGCTGGTTGCTGGTTGTGGTGGTGGTGGTGGTGGTGGATGTCGCTGCTGTTGCTGTTGTTGTGTTTGTCGATGCCGAGGTCGACGTCGTTGTCGTTGTTGTTGTTGTTGTGGTGGTTGTGGTTGTGGTGGTTGTGGTGGTTGTGGTTGTGTTGGTGGTGGTGGTTGTGGTGGTGGTGTCGGTGTCGGTGTTGGTGTTGGTTTTGTTGGTGTTGGTGTTGGCGCTGATGGTGTTGTTGTTGGTGTTGTCGTTGTTGTTGTGCTTGTGGTTCACTTGAGTGCAGGTTTGGCAATGCGCCCGCCAATCGCAGAGCGGTTGTTCTTGTTATTGTTATTCTTTGTTCTATTGCTATTCTCCTTCTTGTATCTGTTGTGGTGGTGGAGGTGGTTGTTGTGGTTGTGATTGTTGCTGTGTTTGTTTTTGCTGTTGCTGTTGTTCGTGTTATTGTTACTGCGAGTGTCGTTCTTCATAGTCTTAGTTTTGTTCTTTGTGTTCTCGCTTCTGCTGCTGGTCCATCCACATAACGAGGCAGCAACCATCAGAAAGTATGGGAAGGCTTCCGCAGAACCAAACCTGTCATTCCCAGCTGAAACAGGGGTCTTGGTGGGCTAGGCGGGAGGCGAGTCGGCAAGTCCCAAGCGTAATCAAAAGATGCCACCAAAGGAACTACGTAACTACTTGTATCAGACCACATGCAGCATGGACCCACCATACCTGTTGTCTCCATAGCCTTACTTGCACATTCTCTCATCGGCAAGCATCGTCTCTTGAATCCTTCAATGTTGCCGAGGTTGCCTCACTTAGTGCCGTTGACCTTCGCTGTTGCAGGGGGCTCGTTCGAATGGCTCAGACCTCAGATTCGGCTTAGGCTCCAAGCTTCCCCCACCTTCACACAGGCTGCAGCTAGGAACCTGGAGGCTCGCCGGCGAAGCAAAGTAACTGGGGTAACTAGTAACGGCACTGCAATTTTCTACCTGCTTGCCTTCAAACGGCAGATGTGACAAAAATCCCATACATGGCCCGTCACAACCATGGGGGAAAGTGACAGGAGCGGTGAAGACGGGATGCCCCACGACACTGTGTTGTCCGGGACTTGTTGAGCAGCATGCCGTCGTAGCCGCACCAAGTGAAAATGAGCACTGTCAGCTTTCGGAACTGGCAGTGGTGACATGAACATCAGGTCCCTGGCCGGGCCATTCGGCGAGCCCGGAGCTTTAGAGGTGCCTTGGGGCCTTAGGGTTTCCAGCTTGACCCCTGATAACCTAGCAGCTAGCGTCAGAGACTGTGATGCAAAGCGACCCCTGCAACTAGCAGGAGTGAGCAATCCAGGGGTAATGACCGTTTCGTGCTACACACGGACGAATTCGCATGAGTCTCTTCATGAGGCGAAAACATTCCACTCTCCGACACGCCCGCTGGGCAAGCATGATCTGAACCCACATAACCCACTTACGCATGCACTGGCGAACCATTAGGTCTGTAGCGCTTGAAGACTGCCGGCATGTGGAGTAACTGGATGCATTGCGTGGCATCAATGCGACCGTTCGCCTCTATTGTTTGACCTTGATCGGCGTGCAGTGGTTGGGGTGTTTGGACTTGGGAAGACAGCTGATATGTGGCGTCTTCGTCAGGTGCTGTTCAGCTTGTTTCCGAACATGCCAAAGTGTCGGATTCTGGCTTGCTCCATTTGTTTGGTTCCAGTTGAGCATGGCAGTTGCGGTCCCGGTGGAAGTCAAGTGCCTTGCCCGACATTGGCCCTAGTAAATTGCTGATGCCAAGTCTCTCCACTGGTGAGAGTTCTCATTTCCCGGTTCGTGTAGCATCAGATTGTGCATAGGCCAAATTGTAGGTAGGGAAGTAGGTGCAGTATGGCCGTGGAGGCGTCTGTGGGCCTTACATGCATTAATGCATGCATACCTGCAGTCCAGCATCGGACACCTAGTGTGGACTCCGATCGCTTTGTGCACCTTCCTTCCTGCAAGACCTTCGGGAGGTACGCAGCGGTCAAGCCATGTCCACTCTCCTGTTCTTGCCTGCTGCCCAGCAACTTCACAAGTTCAGGTCACGGCTGAGGGTTGAGGCTTGGACTGCAGGCAAACAAGCTGTGCAGTGAAGCTTCTGAGAAGTGACACGGCATGCAGTCTCAGCATTTACAAGGGAGACATTGCTGATTTCGATGGCCCGAGAGTGACTTCTGGTCTTGTTTGGGTTCTGGCTCTCGCGGTTGTTTTTTTCTTGTTATTGTTCCCTTCCCGACCTGTGCGAACGGTGGGATTTTCTGCGGTCTGTGACATGGGCTTAGCGTGGGTAGTGTTTGCACGATGGGAGTTGACACACGTATGGTTCAGTTCGTCGTAATTGTCACTGTTGTTGTGGCTATTAAGGTTAGTACTACACTGGTGGTGGTGGTTCCATTGTCCCCGAGCCAGTGGCGCCCCGTCCATATGGTACTGACATCCTCGCCCTTTCCCCATCCCGGTGGTTTAAGTGGTGGGTTCTGCTTCCGGGCGAAGCGTATCCGCGTATCGAGAGCCATGCAGATTGCGAATTCGCACCAGCGGCTGCATGATTTCTTTCCCGTCGTATCGACAACTGGAGGGGTGAGAGCAAGGCCAGCAGACGGATGAATCATGATGAACGCCTCACCTACGCCTGGGTTTGGCCAAGGCCAGAGCTGATGTCCGCACAAGCCACGGGCCCGGGCTTCGCGGGCTATGCGATGTCCGCCCAAGCCCCGGCAGTCCTGGCCTCGGCTGGGCTGGCCAGGAGCACCGAGCACAATCGTTTGCTGACCTGAGGATCGGAAACAGGCGGCCTACAAGGCCATGCAATTCCGACAGTCATCGAAGGAGATCGCCATGGGATGTGGGCCTGTCCGGGTAGCAATTCACAGGAGCGTCCCAAGCACAAGAAGAAGTTGGCATTCGACGAGGGGCCGTTGACCCAGATCTACACTAAGCAAATTGAGCGCGCATTCCTGAGGTGGGGCTGAGAATTGCAGCTATCATCCGAGGCAAGGGATGCTGGTTGCCGCCTCTTCCGACAGTGAGGATTCGCGGAGCAGCAGCAGAAGTGCAGCTTGGACGCAGCTCGTCTTGCCTTGTACTGTAACGACTGCTGCCGCTGCACCGCAGGCGACTTCAAGCCAGGAAGCCGAGACGGACGGCACAGCGCCGTCTCAGCTGCAAATTGCTCCACCGGCTGAGGCAGGTGATGGTGGCAAATTGCTGCACAAATCACCTCTACTGCCGTTGCGCTTCTGTGCCAGGTGTTGTTGATGTGAACTGCGCTCTAAGTGTTACGGCAGGTCAGTTTTCTTATTCTTCCTTGGACGATGGGGTTCCGATTTGCTGGCGCGCCATATCTAGTTCCACACGTAGACAGGCCGGCACCAGCCAAACTACTTTGTCACTGCCCGTTCTGGTCGAGAAGGCCAGCAAGAAAGGCATCCTGAACTTGTCATGAAGCAAGTGGGTAGGTTCCGACGTATTTAATCACGAGACAGCGCCAGGAGCACCGTGGTTCCTGTGCGTTCTTCTTTCTGCCCGCGGCAGCCCCAGCAAGGCAGGCACAGGCTCCCCACAGCCTACTAAGTACCTTTATGCTGTCTCCTCCAAGCGTTAGCGCTTCGCGACGGCCGTCTGGAGCAACCAACATAGGACTGCAGGGTCAGGAATGAAGTGGGGGCGGGCCTGAAAACCAACATGGAGATAGAGGCAGAGGTGTGGGAAAAGTGGGGTGGGGACCAGGCCGAGATTCACCCGCTCTGACCGGAACCTTGGACAGTCGCAGGTCCGGATGCAGCAACTCTCGGAAGGGCTCGTCCCTCAGATGCCTCGACAAAACGTCGTCAACGCCCAGCAGTGAGACACCGGAGCCGCAGAAACTGTCCCAGAACTTGCTCCCAGTCGGCCACAGGGTCCTTTGATGCCCGCAATGAGGCCGGCGCAATCCTCGGATGCTACCTTCAAAAGGCTTTCCAAAGGCCCGCGCACTGGGTTTCCAAAGCTTCTTTGCCTATCTGGGAAGGTTGGAGACCGGTGAGAGTTCGCACATCAGCACCGGAAACCTGGACCCAGGAACCCACGCCCAGACGAACGGCGGGGCTCGGACCACCAAGTTTTATGGAATTCAAAGTGCCGCAGTGGTTTGCTAGAATCGCTAGAAGTTATACAAAACGCCACCAAGCCGTCCAAGGTCATCTTGCTCCAGCAGGTTTCAGCCATCGTAAATTTGGCTGACGTCCAGCGCTCGGTGCTTGCATTCGCTTTTATAATCTGCAGCCTCAGATAGCCTCAGATTATGCAGTTACTGTACATATAGTCATACAGTCACATGATGTCACATGTATTTTCAATCGAAAGCCCAGAACTGTCGGAACCACGTCCGAACTTTTGCGCAGCTCAGCGGCCCCCCAGACCCAGGCACATTTGGACAGCACGTGCCAGGCTGGGATGCGACGCACGCACCTGCCGGCAAGTAGTCGCAGAGCTTGCGTATTGGGGCTCGAAGCGACAGGGCGTTTGGGATCCTGTCCCTGCCGTCTCCTTGGCAGCCAGTCTTGGGCCCGACATCGCGGCAACTCTGTAAGTCTGCACGCAAAGAATCGGAACGCCTGTGTTGTGACCTCTGAGGCGGTAGTCCGGGAGTTGCGGCCCGATCCCACTGCAAAGCAATACCCTCAGCGGCCCTTAGCAAGCTGAGATCTGCGTGCAGCCCTGCCTCTGCATCCTGAGTCCTCCGCTCTCCTAGCTCAAGTACGCCAGCAAGGGCCTGTCGACTGCCGTAGACCCGCAGCTGTTTGGTTCCACAGGTCAGGATTTGGGCCACTTTTGAAGCCCTCCGCCATCATCGCAGAATGATCCCATCCCGGCGGCAAGTTCAGCGAGGGCATTCCTCACCAATTTTGAGATCGCTGGTGGGTGGATTCCTTGTGTGGCTTGGCCGCCTCAGTCGCATCCAGTTTCGCTTGGAGGCATGATGCCTTCGTTTGCTGCTGAGCAGGTACTTCGCTGGACCCGCTGCATTCTCGATCCTCACCTCTGGCCGTCCCTCTACGTTACAACGCAGTGGACACAGGCAATTCAGCTTGGCTCGCCGAGCTGAAAGTGCTGAAACTGCCACTGCCACAGAGGTAGCTGATGGTGAGGAGTTTGAGTTCCAGGCAGAGGTGGGCCGGGTCATGGATATCATTATCAACTCCTTGTATTCCAATAAGGACGTGTTTCTTCGAGAGTTGGTGTCCAATGCCGCAGATGCTTGCGACAAGAAACGTTTCCTGGCACTGACGGAGAGCGACGCGCCCCCTGAGCCGATGAAGCTGCGTATCAATACAAACAAGGATGATAGGCTGCTCCTGATTGAGGATAACGGAGTTGGCATGTTGAAGGAGGAGCTCAAGGAGAACCTGGGTCGCATTGCTCGCTCAGGCACGGCCAACTTCGTAAAGGAGCTGGGTAGCGGCGAAGCAGATGTCAGCCTCATCGGGCAGTTCGGTGTGGGCTTCTACTCGGCATTTTTGGTGGCAAACCAGGTGGACGTGTATTCCAAGAGCTTCAAAAAGGAGAGCGATGGAAAGATCTGGAAGTGGTCCTCTTCGGGCAGCTCTTACAGCATCAAGGAAGCTGAGGAGACAGAGCTCTTCGGTGAGCAGAGCGGGACCAAGATTGTCTTGCACTTGCGCGAAGAGGCGCAGGAATATCTAGACACTGGCAAGTTGTCCGACCTACTCAAGAAGTACAGCGAGTTCATCACCTTCCCCATTGAGCTGTACAATGAGAAAGTCCAGTACGATCAGGTTCCCGATGAATCAGCGCCTCCACCAAAGGAAGGTGAGAAGCAGAAAATGAAGAGCGTGCCACGTTCCGTGTACGAGTGGGACATCATGAACAAGATGAAGCCCATTTGGCTGCGCAATCCGGATGTGGTCAATGAGTCGGAATACACCGAGTTTTACAAGACTACCTTCAAGGCTTTTGATGAGCCCATGACGGTGACCCACTTCAAGGTGGAGGGTCAGATCGAATTCCGAGCTTTGGTGTTCATTCCTTCTACCATGCCCTTCGAGCTAACCCGCGACATGTTCTCTCCAGAGGGCCGCGCCATGCGTCTCTACGTGAAACGTGTTTTCATTAACGACAAGTTTGAGGACCTGGTTCCCCGATGGCTTACTTTCGTCCGGGGTGTGGTGGACTCGGAGGACCTCCCGCTCAATGTGGGCCGAGAGATTTTGCAGAAGAGCCGCACCCTGAAGATTATCCGCAAGCGAGTGGTACGAAAGGTCCTGGACACCATCGATGCGTTAGCCTCAGACTGCAGAACAGCATTCCGGTCGTTTCACTGCAGCACGCAATGTGCATTTCATGGCATTTCATAGCACTTGTTTTCCAGTGAGGGACCTGATTCAGCTCAGGACTTGCGGGACAAGGAGCCCAACAAGTTCGAATCCTTTTGGACGAGCCGCCTGGAGTCGTTTAGCTTTTGACAAGGAGACAAGCGGGCGTCTTTCAAGCCCCAATGGCCCAAGGCTACGGCAAGTACTTCAAGGTTGGTCTCGTGGAGGACCTGGACTACAAGGACGGGCACCTGCCCGGTCCGGTGAGGCAGTAGGGATCTGCACCACTCGCCCGTACCGATGATGCAGAAGGGAGGTGAAACACTGAAGGCAGGTCGGAAGGGCAATTGTTGCAAACATCCTTCGTACCACATGAATGCAGAGCAGGACGAGCTGAAGCGCTTCGTGCGCTTCTGGTCGTCCAAGAGCGGCGACAACCAGACAAGCCTCGATGAATACATATCCCGCATGAAGGACAGTCATTCAGGCTTAGGGCATTGATGTGTTCAGCCCAAGGGCAGTTCGGGTGCCAATCGCAGTCTGGCAGTTCGTGAGCTTTCACAGCGTGTTCACAAACTACCCAACGCATGGTTGATTGCACCGTGCTCCTTTGCCATATTGAATATTAACTACTAACTTCGATCCAGGTTGAATGGCATTCCCACAGTGTTCATGGTTTCTGGCATTTGGAAACCAACCAGAGCATCGGTTCCTGGAATGCGTGACTTTGGACAACCGTGACATCTACATTGTTGATTTGCACAGGTTTCAGCTCTGCCCGTGCTGAAACAACGACCTAGGGAAGATCCATCAAGGCGACATGTGCAAACCACTGTAAATTCGGACACTGCTGTGAAGGTTCAAGGACTTTTGTTTACCAGGTTACCATCAGAAACACACGTCTCAGATGCCCGGATCCAGGTGTCACTGGCTCTGCTGCTTGCACGGGCTTTTGAACTTTTGCGAACGCTAAGACACGACGAACATGAAAGCGCCATCTTGTCCTCGAGCCCATGAAGAGCCACAGGAAGGCCAGGACAAGATCTACTTCGTCACTGGTGAAGGCAGGCGAGCTGCAGAGATAGCTCCTGCCATGGAGAAGATGAGATTGAAGGAGCAGCGTATAAGCACACCATGTCACGTCCTCTTGATTCCACGTCCCAAGCGGAGGATTACGAAGTGCTTTACATGGTGGACCCCTTGGATGAAATTTGCAGCCAATCAATCGTGGACTATGATGCGAGGGGCCCCAGAAGAAAGCTCAAGTGTGTGGTTGGACAACTCAGCGCATCGAAAGAACTCAAATTTTCGCCAGCCAATGAGAATACCGATCCAAAACCGAGAATGACTGCTCTGGGACCCAGGGAAAGAAGCTCGTGGACATCAACAAGGCCGGCCTCGACTTGGAGAAGAGCCACTTGGCGAAATAATCACCGTCAAGGACAGCCTTTCATGCAAGTCGTTTCTAGACAAGTACACTTGGCAACAAAGCAATGCAAGACAAGCACAAAACACGTCGCTGCACTTTGGCCGATGGTCTTTGTGAGCTTGCCACAAGCCTGTCGCATTCAACCAGACATGCCGGCCGCACCCTGAAGGCGAAGACGAGAAGAAGGCGGATCATTCCGCATGTGTGAGTGCATCTGCATGTGTATGCGTGTGTGCTTGTGTGCAATTGTTCTTCCGGCTCTCCTGCCTGGAGAAATGCATACCCACCTGCCCCATGCCTGCCCCGTGATGACAGCTGTACTAATTATTCAGGCGCTGCTCGGTCACTTGCAAGCAGTCTGCTAGAGGCTCACTTCAAGCTTGTAATTATGCTCGATGGAGCCGGCCGTATTGCTTGGATTTGCTTGGTGTCCCTACACCTTTGCTGCACATTCCGTTGTGCTCGACTCGTTGCAGCGCAACCCGAAGCAAAGAAAGTAGCAGTCGAACGGCAACGAGAAACGGCAGAGTGTGGCGAAAGTTAGGAGAGCGAGAGAGGCGCGCGGAGAGAGTAGGCTGCTACCTTCTTTTGGCTGTTTGGAAGAAGAGAAAGAGAGCCTGTGAAAGAAAGAGAATTATTGAATCCGTGGAAGAAGCTGTCTACTGTAATAACATCTCCTTCGACAACGCATTCCAACCTGCACTCTTCACGTCCCCTCATAAAAGCCCCACAACACATGGGGGCCAACAGGCCGGGGGACCTCAACAGTCCCCGAAGCCCGGTGGAAGAAGAGAGAGAGAGGGCCCATAACTCGGGGCAGTGGCCCACGACATCGGCGGCGGCGGACTACGTAGAGCACCTACGCCAAACACGAGGCGCAGGGGGAACAACTCGAAGAGCAGGGTGCGTGCGAACCCGCGCAAATGGAGCCCCTCACTGGGGTCATCAAGCTTTAGTTGCTAGGCACTGGGCACAATTGGGGCGAGTAAACCTTTGCCTTGTGCGAGAGTGAGAGTCGACCGAAAGGTTTTCAGAAAGCGCACGACGTAACTGCATGCGATCTTGGATCTACGATGCCAGAGCTGAAGTCATAGCCAGGAGATGGAAGAGACCACAAAGGAGCCGCTGGCTGCAGCGTGAGCTAGGGGGCCCAAACTTGGTCAAGCTTGAAAGAATGGCATGGAGGAGTTTGAAGACTTGGCGACCTGGTTGAAGAAGCAGCTCGGCCCCTCGGCAGAAATCATGCCGCTAGATGCCGCTAGCACCTCGGCTCAGCCCGCCTGTCGAGGCGAGCGAGTGCAGAAGGTGCAAGTATCTGATCGCCTCGTGGAGTCCATGGCCACACTGGTGCAGGGTGCTACTCGGTTGTATGGAAACTTTCCGCTTCTGGAAGCCAGGCTGGCCGTGAACATCGGTGTTAAGTGCTCGCTACCAGTCCGATCACTGGGGCATCTTCATAGCGACAAACTGCTCTATCCCAGGAATGGGGCATGTCTCCCATGATGCAGCGCTACATGAAGTCTCAGACCACATCCAGCGCTTCTGACAGCGCCTTCGCCATTGGCTCGAGGAATCAGGCCTCGTGTAAATTTTGTTGCACCCGTCAGGACGGCAAAAGAAGCCGCCTGACTGCCAGGCCATTTTGGAGATCAACCCTTCGCACAATGTGGTGAAGGCAGAGACTTTGCCATTCTATTTCCTTCAGCCTCCATCTGCCTGGGAGCAGGCCCTAAAGAATGCCTACGAGACCAAGCCTGATTCCGTCGAAACAGAAGACATGGCATCTGGGACTTTTCAGGGTAGTGAGGGGTGAGGCAGCCGACCCGAGAGTTTTGCAGTCGCAGTACATGAGGTGATGATGATCTACGAGACAGCAGCCTTGATTGGGGGCTACACAATCGAAGACCCAGGCACATTGGGAACTCAAGGGAGCCAAGTCTTTGGCGACTTCGCTTCTGCCTCGTGAAGGTGACTTCGCCAGGCGAGTCACGAAGCTCATGGAGCTGCAGGCAGAGGGAGCAGGCGCATATGGCACATGCCCTGCTCTGCCTTGTTTTCCATCAACGTCTTGGAAGAGCGAAGCAGCCCTTGCCAACTTAGGTGCTGGCACCCAGGATGCAGAGGTCGTGGGTTAGAGAGCCTCTTTTGCATTCGTGGGGCGCGGGCTTGAGGATCCAGCCCGCTTGCCCCCTGCACGCAACGGCAACCCCCCTACTCTGGGCTGAGCAACCGTAAGTCTGCCTCACAATGAGCTGACTGTGAGAGGTGCATCAATCATTGCAAACAGCTGCCTAGTCAAATTTATCAAAGAATGGCCGTGAAGGAAAGCGGTGTTGTGATCTGGGGCTGCCCAGCTATTCTTTTGAACGAGTCTAATGTATTGCTTGCTTGATCTTACGACTAGGTAAAGCCTCGAAGGAACAGGCATGGTCAGCAACCCTGGCAAGCAGCAGAATCATTGCAGCAACTTTTAGAGCCAAAACAAAAGGAGGGGCCGTCAACATTGGGGATGTCAAGACGGTGAAGGTCGGGTTGGAGACCCCGCGTGCGGCGGAGTAGTTGAAGTTCGCTTCGTGCCTGTGAGCATTACAGAGACGGGTGGTCCTAACCCTCTGAACCAAAACCATAAACGGTCGGGCGTAATGTGGCAAGTTCTGGTTGTGAACCTTACGCAACAGCGGTCCAGAAGGGGTCAAGGGCAAGTGGCATAAATCAACAACTGTCGCATAAGTGGCCGAAATCAATCAGCGGTCCCGCGCACTGTCATACTGTCATGTTGCCACGATCATTCCATACTCTTCATGCTTTATCCAGGCATTCTTGCTCGGCTGGCAGCACTAGACATGTAACTCCTGCAGGTGAATCGGGCATCCTCGCTTGGTCGATTGCCTGGGGTCGAGTGTTCATGAATTTATCATGCCTTCACTGCCGGGAGACACAGTTTCTGTGGAGCTTGGCTGTGCTTAAGGAGCTAGAAGATGACGGCCACTTCCCTGAGAAGGATGCCAAGCGATGGTTCTGTCTACGATTCGAAGGTTCTGCTGCGAAGCGATGCCGAAAGAAGACTCAAATCCAACGGCTACACTGGTGCTTTCGCAGCTGAGACGAAGACCCTAGTCAGATCAAGTCGGTACATCATGTGTCGTTCAAGAAGTGTTTTGTCCTGCTCATTTGCTGGTGCCCTGCACTGCACCTGCTAGCCGCTAAGTTCTCGTGAGTGATGGTCCACACAAAGTATGCTGCAAGGGGCTGGAACATGCTCCGCAGACACGCAACGGATGGTGCTCCGGACTATGCTCGGATAGAGAGTGATAGTGATAGTTCATACGAAGTGCAGAGCGACAAACGACGAAGAACGCAAAGCCTTGTCTCCAATTGCTGTACTGTCCCAGCGGCGTGGCAGCTCCTTGCAGCTTGAAGCCATCCAGAGAAGCCTTTCAGAAGTCCACAGATGCCCCAAAGGATCGCTGACGGGTGTAGTGCAGTGTCAAGAAAAACAGGGTTGCTATCAACATCCCAACCGGATGAACTAGACCTGCCGATGCTGCAGACTTAGTGGCGCTGTGGTCCAAACGTTTGTTCAACAAGAGACCCCAGAAACAGTTTGCAATCCGCGGCCATGAAAAAAGCGTAAGGAGTCTTGGGTGATCATTCAAAACAACATAAAATAGCAATCAGCCGGACTGATGATGTCAGAGCAGAGATGGAGCAAGTTTACTGGGTTTTAGTGATACGATCATGAGCACGCGCAACGTGCACGATAGTAGTGACCATGGTTCAAAAGATAGTACCAACCGTAATCATTTCAACCTCAATCTGATCGACAAGTTTGCGCAACCCCCATGTGCATTTGCATAGGTCTGCCTGCCTGTGTTGCATGAATGTCCGTTTGCGTGCTGCATGTTATGAAGGTATGTTTGCTTCGTGCATGGGTCTGTCATACATCCATATTTTCGCGAAGATAACTTGTCTCCTAGCAGTAAAATAGCATCCTGGATAGCTTAGACGATTTTTCTCGGCAGGCAGATCTGTTTTGGGTTGCACAGGCGGAGATGCTGACAAGGATGTGACGTCTCGACCGGATTCCTTGCGTAGATCTGTTCAGCTTGGGGATGTTCGGTAGGGCGGGTCGGAACGTGAGCTTATCGAGGCAAGCCCGAAGAGCCGGCAGGGCGTTGCAGCCTCTTGGTCGCCAGCCCGAGGCCTAGACGGGTCCAGAGGTATCTTATGTGACGAGGATGGAAAGCAATTGCTGAGTGACGACAACATCCGTGGTGGGAGAATATAGTATTGTGGCATTCGTTGGTGAAGTGTTGCCGAGAGCCGAATCTCATGGTCGCATAGGATCTCATTTGCTGTGCTGTAGGAACTCGGTCATTGGGTCATTCGAGTGTCGAAGTGCAGGCGGTGGTAGGTCTCCCTTGCCCAAGCCGCGAGGTCTCAGAGCTTGGCCGGCAGAGCCCGCCAGTGGCTGAGTGGAAAGGTTACTCGTTTACTCTTTCGGGCTCTTTCGGGTGATACTGGGATTCCGCCATGAGACGATGAGCATTTGCTTTGGCTACTTACGTAGCTACTTAGCTACTCCCTCCGGTGTCTCCTGACACTGTGTGTCGAAGTCTCTTATGTTCTACACGGGGGCTCCTTGCATTTGCCTCACAGCCTCCAGACTCTAAATGGTTTGCAGCGCCATCATAGCGACACGGCGTACACGGCCCCTGTGGCCCAAGCTTGGAAGGCACTTGGGTTGAAGACCTGTTGCTCGAGCCATGTGGCAGAAGTGCGAGTCGCCGAGCAAGCCGAGCAGTGTCTTGTGCGAGGATGTGGGGTTTATTTGGGAGCGGAGGGGGGGGGGGGGGGAANNGGGGGGGGGGGGGGGGGGAAGAAAAAACAGCTTACACTTGAAATCCCATGTTGCCTTGTCTACTTGTACCAATGAAAACCTCACGACCTTCACCGTTGCTTTTGCTTTAGCGGAAGCTGCAGGGAACCATAGTGGAGTGGCAAGTATAAGGACCCACGAACACGTATCGTGCGAATAGCCGGTTAAGGCTAACGGTTAAGGATGCAGGACCAGGCAGACCTGGCCAAGCACAAGGATTGAGCATCAGCGTTCTTAGTCTTAAAACCCTTTGACCATGAATACTATCATCATCCCTGCTGAAGCATTTTCTGGTGTTATTGAATAACTAGTTTCAGGTTCAGAAAGTATGCTATGTCCTTTCGGACAAGGCCGAGCAGCGGCCTGAGCCCGCACCCTGGGCCCTGTGCCAAGGGGGCATGGCAGGGACGGCCCCTATCAGTCGATGTTCGAAAAGCTGTCATCTGTCTTGCTCTTGGGTCTTGCAGGAGCTGGGGGGAGTATCCCAGGAGGGGATGCAACGGATGACAACTTCGAGCACGGAGTACGGCTCATCGGAGATGGATCCTTCCCCGCGATCCTACACTTCCTGGAGCTCGGAGCTAGACTGTTTCGGAAACACCAAGAAGGACTGCCACTTTGCGAAGTTGCAGGACGGGGGACTATTGCAAGATGTGACGCTTCGATCCTCTCTCGAAATGATCGCCTCTCCGGAAACCTACTCTTGTCAAAAAATGCTATTCCTCATCAGCCATCGAGCTGCTCACCAACTGAGCGAGAGTTTGCAACTTGCTATGTGCTACCTGAACACCGGTAAATGCAAACATACACCCCGAGTCTGCAGAGACCTGGCCGTAATATGCCGTAATCCCCGAGGTGGCCACGAACCCATTGCTGGTAAGATCATGGGAAGATGCGGGAACCCCAAAAGCTGCAAGCGCTTGAATCGAGGAGCTGAATGTTTTCCGAAGCCTTGTCGAAAATGATCAGCGGAGCCCCTCGTCGACAGGCAGTTAAACATTGCTGAGAGGGCCCAGCCGAGCTGTTGGGCTTCGAACCTAGAGCCGCCCAGAGTTCTCGAAATCAGTCTTCACTGAAGAGGTCCTGGTATTCACGCTTAATTTGGGTAGTTGCAACTGTCAAAGATATGGAGAGAGAAAGAGAGAGAGAGAGAGAGAGAGAGAGAGAGAGAGTGGAAGAGTGAACTTGTGCAGTCTCATTTGTTTCGGGGAGATCCTCGTACGGAACTCCAGAGCAGGATATGTCACCTGGAGCAACCTCAATAGAGGCAGACCAACAGGGGCCCCCCCTGAGAGGGGGGAGCGGGGGTTACTCCTTGCAAATCAGACCTTCGAACTGAAGGGGTGGGGGTTTGCACAGGACCCGCAAGCCGTTGAGAAACAACGTTGCCAGGAACTGGCAATGTCGAGGCTTCAAAAGCGAAGGGCTCTGTCTTCCAACGGGCACTTCGGGTCGTAATCCTTGCCCTATGGCCTTATGTGCGCGTTTCATGTCGTCGGTTTGGATTCTATCGACCTGAGGCTTGGGCTTATCTCGCTGTGGTGTGATTCATCGGATGCGCTTTGCCGCTTCCTGTGTTCGCATGGCTGTCACCGAGTACGACAATCTGAGCAGAGACGGACACACGCTTCATGGCCTTTGGAGAACATGCTTTGTTTTGGTGGAGGCTGAGCTGTAACCAGGTGATGCAGCTGGAGGAAGCCTGTACAGTAGCTGTTGACTACGTCAGGTTCTTCCCCGGCGACGAGGCTCGGACGACTGGAGATGAACTTCTATGCTGCCGGAAGCTTTGAACCGATGAAACACACGCCTCAGTCAGGATTTCTCGTACCAGAGGTTCCTTCCAGCTGGGAAAGCCTGTACTCCTCCGATTCTGCCTCCCAGGTGAGTTTAATGAGCAATGACGGCGGCAGAAACAAAAGCTCGGGGCGCTAAGTTCTCTGATCACGGTCGGGCCAAGCCCTGGAGAATCAGGGATGCAGTCAGAATTCGTTTCTGCGCATGTCAGCATTATGAATCCTGTCCAGGAACTGCGAACACGCATGAAAAGTCCTGGACCGAAACCGATGCGCAGGAAGGCGGTCTTCGATCGAGGACGTAGGAACTCCGACAACATCCTTGGATTCAGAGCTGCATTTTGCCCACCCACGAAAGAGCCGACACCTTCCTGCGAACTTAGTGGGGAAAACCCACTTTGCAAGCTTCGCGCGAGCTTGTCGATATAATGATGACTTCCTGCAAAAGCAGGCTGAGAGCACTAAAGTAGCTTCGGCTCGAGGACCAAAGGCCGCAGACGAAGCGCCCCTGCTCGAATGACCGGTAGTGTTCGAAAGCATCGGCCATTGCAGATCAGCCTTGGGCATCCTTGGGCTCAAGCCGAAATGGCACCGCCGGGCCCGCCACTGAAAATGAGGAGAAAAGACTCCGACATTCAAGCAGAAGTCGGTGAGGGGTCCTGCTGACTGGATGGACTTCTTCGATGTCTTGCGCAAAGGCCGCTTGCAAACTGTTACGGACAGGGTCAGTCAGTGTGGCCTGGGGCAGCCCTGAAACAACGGTTCGGATCACATTCCACAGGTTGTACGTTCGGCGGCACGAAGAAGTCGAAGGAGGTGGCATTTGGCAAGAGGAAGGCGCCAGATCCCGCCATCAGGACGGGGGACCACGGGGGGTGTTGTCAGCTTCGGGCCAGAGTTCGAGCTTGAAGCACAGCATGTGCAATGTGGGTGCTGTCAGCCTCGGGCGTTCTACAGTGCAACGGGGTGCCTGCCACCTGTGGAACTTAGGGTCAACACCCAGCCTGTGAACATTGCTGACATCTGCTAGACAATCGAAGCTGAGCGTAGATGAGATGGTGTGAGTGAGAGGCCTTCAGGAAGCGCAGGACACATCAGACATGTTGTTTGTTTACCAGAAGCAAAGCCCAAAGCTCAAAGTGTACTCGGCCCGTAGGGCCGAGAAACCGTCGGAGTAGTCGGTGGTCCAACAAAAGCTCATTGGCTGTGTGTTGTAAAGCGCAGATTGTGGCTGTGTCGGACGGAGCCAAGAAGGTAGGCCTTTCAACGTGGAGTTTGAGGGGTGTGGTTGTCGGAGGGCGAGATCTTGTGACGGATGCTGTCGGAATCTTCGCGTAGCATAGGCTTCTGATGCCCAGCTTTTCTCCGAAGGGTTCGCAGGCTTCAAGCATGATATCGTGTGTCGCATTCGCTCCACTCCGTTGCCGGCTAGAGATTTGAAAGCTGGAGCCGGCTGAAGAACAGGGACAAAAGTTCATGACACATCCTAGTGGGCAGGCAGCCTGCCAGACTATGCACAGTGACTCTTCGCGTGCGGCACTCTTGAGAAAGACGGCTTCTTCGATGAAACTCTGGTCCAGGCCTTCGTCAAGCACGCGCTCAAGCACGGTCCTGGACTATTTTGGCCTCGACCATGGAGATACTGCCGCAAAGGACTCGGGTTAGCACAGACTCCGGAAGAACTTGTCGTGGTAGCAAGTTTTGTGTTGTCGCTGAAGTTTAGACATGACCAGAGGGCATCATGCAGGCACACTATGTAATGTGCAAAACCTACAGCCATCGGCATAGTCGCGGGCACGGGTAGCCTGTAGATTGTGTCACGCCGACTTGCACCGATGGATCCTGGCCTGGCTTGTCCGAGCTGTGAGAGTGTAAAGCCATGAATAGTTCCGCACGACGAAACGGCAGTCTTTGATTTATGTCAACCATGCCACATGTTGCTTCTTGGCATTGCAATTCGTAGAGGGATGCACGTCGTCTCAGTTACGATGCGGTCTAGTCTGGCCTTCTTGTGGAGACACTTCGTCCCCTCCAACGTTGGAGAATCGTTTCAGAGTCTTACGTCTCGTGAGTGCTCATCAATGACAAGTTGTACTAAAACTAGTTGTGCCGAACTCTCATTCGCAAGGTTCTTGTGTGAGCATCAAAAACCCTACAGTGTAGCCTGCACTGTCCGTGTTGCGAGAGCACCTGCTCCATAACGAACCCCCTTAGATCCCTCAGGAAGCCCTGCAACGAAGCCTTTAGCTTGCAGGACCAAGCAGAACCCAAGGAGGCCAAGGTCGCTAAAGCCAAGGCCAATGGGCAAGACCCGCGGCTCTCTGGAGGAGGTACGTTCTTGCAGGGCGTATGTATGTATAAAATGTGTGTATATGTATGTATACATATATATACACACAGCTAGACACAGCGTATGGGTATATGTGTGTGTGTGATTGTTACATGTATATTCATACACATGCATGCATGCATGCATGCATGCGTGTGTGTGTACATACACACATGCTTTCTGCACAGCTGTGTAGATACACACACACATACACACATACACACATACACAAATACATAGATATGCATATATATATATATACACATATACATATACTTTATTTATTTATTTATACATACATACATACATACATACATACATACATGCATATCTATGTGTTTTACATGGTTTTTATAAAATGGATCCGTAATGGTTTGCTCTGTGCGCTGATTTTGCTTCGTTTCCAACCTCGGACTTGTGGGGTGGAGGTGAGGGTGGGTTCGTAATGACGTTCCTGCCGACTGTACCTCTGAACCCAAACCCTGAAACCCAGAACCGTTAATATGCTGTACGAAGTAAAAGCCAATGGTTTGGAGGGTGGGGCAAAAGTTCAACGGCGCGTCATTTCATCTTCAAACGCAACGATTTCCCCTAAAATAGCGCGCCATTGGTTCCCATATGACATTGTAAGACAAACAGATCGGGAGAAATGCAAAAGAGACTTCAATTGAGCACAACTGAAAAAGAGGAACCAACAAAGAACAAGAGAAAGAAATATGAACGTGGTAAGCAGAACGCGCTTATTTGCAGAGCCTTGCGCTCGTGTACAACATGCCGAACCAACACATCACATCAAAGACTACGTTTCACCCTAGCACTTCAGAGCAAAAAGCCCTAAAACTACATATGTGGAGCCTTGAGAGTCGAAAACTACAGACTCGACGAGGCCGTGACGCGACTCGACTTCGTATACTTGTACGCACTATTTTGGCTGCGGGCATCGCACTTTCCGAACACCCGCCGACGGGGTTGTTTATGGCATTTGCTGTAATGGGATTAAGACATGCCTAGCAAGCCCTGCACAGCTGCCGCCGAGTCCGTGGCCAATTCTGCCAGGAGATAAAAGGCCAGGAAGCTGGCCAAAAGGGGAGGCAAAAGAACAGGAGGCCCTGGACAAGCGCGCAGTGCAGCAGAAGCAAGAGGCCGTGGCAGCCTTGCGTCGGCGGCATCGCATCCACGTGAGTCCTGGCACGCCTGATCTCGTGGAGTCCTTCGGCGACATGGCCAACAGGAGCCTCGAAAACAGTATAGAGGAGGATCAATTGGTGTTGTAAACTGTTCTGTAGTAGTGTAGTTGGCTGGAAGTGCCTAAATTGCCTTTCCGGCATAGTCTTAGGTTGATCTTTCTCTGAGTTGAGCAGGCTTTGCATGTAGGGGACCTGAACTGCAGCTCGCAGGGGGGTTCCACCATGGCTGGTCCGCAATCTGACTTCTTTGGGCTTCTCCCAGCCAACTCCGATTCAGATGCAGTGCTTCCCGGCCATCATGTCGGGAAGTCATGTCCTCGCTTCCGCCCCAACTGGGAGTGGAAAGACCATCGCCTTCTTAGGCCCCATCTTAGCTCTTCTGGCGAAGCCTGGAAAGGAGTTCGCACGTGCCTTGGTGGTCGATCCTTCGCGAGAGCTGGCAAAGCAGACGCTGGACGAATTCGCAAAGCTAACATCCGGTCGCAAATGGAACGGACGACTGGTGGATAAGCTTTCCGGAGACAAGGCTGGCAATATCAAGCGCCTAGACGTCGCCGTGGCGACACCGCTTCGGCTGGTCCAGCTGCTGCGCGACAATCGGATTTCACTAGACTCGACGAAGCATCTGGTCTTTGATGAAGCTGACAAGCTACTAGATTTGGGTTTTGCGCCACAGGTGGATGAGCTATTGACTTTCTGCCCAAAAGAGAAAGGCAGACTGATGCAAACTATGATGTTTTCAGCGACTCTTCCCCCCGTCGTAGTGGACCTTGCTGGCTCCATCCTGACTTCTCCACTGCGGATCAGCATTGGAGATGTGAATGCGGCTGCTCCAGATGTGGAACAGACTCTGATCGAAGTTCGAAGTTTTAAGTTCATGGTTTCTGGATCACTAGAAGCCCGCTCGACGCATACCCGGCAACCATGCGATCCCACCTACACCCAGGTTTCGTATGTGCCAACAGAGAGAGACCAAGGAAGCTTCTGTTCATCACTAGCGAGGATGGAAAGCTCTTCAGCCTCTTGGCACCTTTTTGCGGCGGGAGGGGGAGGTTGCGGAAGCCATCTAGATGTTGTGAATTGAAATCAATCTACAAAGCTCTACGACCTGAACCGCTTTGACCCGAAATCCGGGATCCGCGGTCAGCAGTCTCTCGAGCCAAGAGGATTCAAGAGGATGACTCGGACACTGGTTCTGCACGCATCGAGCACCGGCTCGTTAGAAGCCTCGCCTGGATTGCGCAGGAGTGCCAGGAAGGCGATGTGGTAGGCAGTGAGGAGCGATGACGGCCGAGGAGTTCTTTGAGAACTTGTCCACGCTGGGCTCAGGGTTTAGATTACGGTTACAGTCCGATGCAGGAGGGATGACAGGGTTTAGGGCTTAGGGTTGGAGCTGGAATTAGCATAGCGTTTGAAGCTGGATTGTGGCGAAGCATGCGCTGCTGCCTTGGATTGCCTTTGAGGCCTGGAGTTGTCAATTGTCAATGCTTCTATCACCTGAACGATCGAGGAGATCGAATGTCCAGCATAAGGCTTAGGGCTTCAGCCGAAACCCGGTAACTACACATCCGGAGGTGAAAACTGCAGAGTCCTGTTGCATGCGAGGGCTGAGGGCTGCCCAGGCTTTCGGCAGCTTTTGCAAGATGGCGAGATCAAGCCGCCTGCTTTGGTATTCGTTCAGTCGAAGGACTTCCGTTTGGTTGCGATGGTCTCGGGGTTTGTTTCCCAGGCGCAGCTTGAATCAGCTGTCGGCCGACAACCCTTGAAGCCTTGGGACTAGATCTGGCTTGCGGCAGACACTCCGTCAATGCAGCAGGAGCGTGCAAAAGAACTGTTTGGTGAGCTGGTCTACGACACACCGCTGCATTCACCTTGCAAGAGGTTGCTTTGGGTGTCAGTAGTTTGGTACCGGACCGATTGCATCATGATGTTGGAGCAGCTTTTTCAGTGATGCCAGATCGCGAGACCAGCTGAGGATGGAATCTTTGTCGATGCAATTCATGCAGACCGGACCAAGCTTCAAAGAGACAACACGGCCGAGCCCACAGCATGTCGATGATAAGTCCAGTTAGGCGATGCTTGGGAAGTGCTTATCTGTGAAGGTCAAAGCCTTTCGAGCTGGGAAGCTCTGGGTCCTCATCTGCACGGACCTCATGGCCAGGGGTGTGGACTTCAAAGGCTTGGGATCAACTGAACTGCACTGCTGCAGCTCAACCAGCTTGTTGTTGAAAGCTCTTCGCGTGATTTCGCATGCCCACGGCCTTTAGCTTGACCTTGCGTATGCTTGGGTGGGCCAGGTGTGGAGACCGCTGCTTGGCGGCACCGAAGCTTGAGTAAGGAAGCAAGCGTGTTCTCGATGTGGAAGGAGAGTTGCAAGTAGTGCGTGGTCTACACAAGCAGGGTCCGAAGCTCCGGGCATCAAGTGAACTGCCGATCTGAGCCCTGAGCTTCTGATTTGTGACATCGCGAGATACGACGAATCGAGATGAAGTTGAACTGTACTTTGTGGGATGTGGCCAAGGTGATCAACTACGATTTCCCCCAGTCGGCAGCCACCTACATCCATAGGCAGCCTGAGTACCACGCACATAACAAGAGCTGCCGAGGCATTGCCTGGAAGTTTCAGTAGTCGGACTGTCATCGACTGTGTTTCGTTTGTGCATTCTTTGAGAAGCGAGTGCCGTGACACTGGGCTAGGCCTCCAACGAAAAACTTAAGCCAACGTTTGCCCAAATATCGAGTCGACGTGCTGCCAGGATCGGGCGCACAGGTCGCGCGGGCAGGCGCAAAAGCATCATGTAGCCAAAGCTGACATGCCATCCGAAACATTGCTCAGACTTTCCCTGAGAGGAATGGCAAGGCCATAACGATGTTCACCATCGAGGACTTCGAGTCACTTCGAAGTGTCTCGTCGCTGTGTTAGGAGGACGTCGAAGACTCGAAGCTAGGAGCAGGAAGCCCGCAACATTAAAATTTGGTCTTTCCTAACCAGGTATCGTCGGCGTGATGCGCCAATCGGGCTGCGAAGTTCCTGAATGGATGCTCCGCCTGAAAGCGAGGCCAAAGAAGGACTGTTTGGAACTTGCGACGTTTCGTATCAGAACTTCACGAGTTCTGACGCACGCTGAGAGGAGCGACGAATGGCGGAATGGCAGCCTGCCGGCAACCAGACAATCAAAACACCGCCACAAGACATCTGTGCGGGGCGGCAAGTCCTGTCAGGTAGTGCCCGCAATCTTAGCAGATTCCGCACAGCTCATAGGTTCTATTGCTCTGCAACTTCGCATCTCCTGCGACACCTGAGGCGACAGCCGAAGCGCAAGCGAATCAGCACGGTTTCGGGATACGACCGCAAGAAATCCCACAAAAGGCAGCAGTTTCTCGGCCCGGTGCAGAGACCTGTCGGGGTGTGGCGTATGTGTGTGTATGTGTGTGTGTGTGTGCTGAGGATGGTGGATGCCCGGGCCTCGGCTTTGGTGTTTCGCTGGACTTCCGAGGACTTCCGATGACTTTGTCGGGTTTCGCGGGTTTGATCCGAGGCCAGCAAGAAGCGAAAGAGTGACATCACGAAGGACGGCATGGACTGAAGTCAAGCCCAAGGGCTTCTATTGGCGGCTGCGAAGCTACGTCGAGGCTTCCGAGGGTTACCGCGAGAAGCAAAGTTGCCGGAGGGCTCCCACGGCATGCTTCAAGCAGCTTCAAGCAGCTGCAGCCGTGTCTTGAAGACGCGATTGCTGGCGAGCCCCTGCAACGGAAGCAAGGGTAGAAAGTAGGGTCTTGGTTTCTCAGTGCGAGGCGCGCACGGGGAGCTCAAAGTTTCACCAGATCGTTGCCAGGACAGAAAAGTAAGAACAGGTTGGCCGTCAGACGCCAGACAAGTGGAAGAGTAAAAGCACTGCATCGGCATGCATCGGAACCCTGCACTTGTAGACCTGGCATAGACCTGGCTTCAATATAGAGTGCTGTGAAGAGCCCAATGCACAGAAGGCATCGTCATGGTCGTCTTGAAGTTTCGATAGCTTTGTCTCAAGAGGCCCGGCTGAAAGAAAAACCCAAGGCCACACATCCTTCGTGCCAAGTTCGTCGTCCAAAGCGAGCTGGAGTTAGCCTCCCGGCTGCACATGTAAATTTGGATTAGATCCGTGCCTCGATGGCCATCGCATGTTCTGGCATGCTTGCCGAGGATCTCAATCTTGAGCCTGGGAGCTTAAACTGTATTATGCAGCTCTTGGATCACTGGCAAAGAAACTTGGCCCCTGAGGCTGCGATTCTGTTGCACAGCTTGCAATCGAGCCCTGACGCTTACGGCGCGTGGGAAGGTACATGTGCGCTGGCCCGAGAAGGCACTCAGCCGGCGATGCTGTCAGGGGTGCAGTGGTTGTGCTGAGGTCCACTTTATGGCGACCCTTTGACGTGCACTTGTCTTTTGAGTCCGGCAGCGCTGCACCTGCAGCAGGACTCGGTTCGATAGAACTTGCAATCTCGGATGTCAGCTTTGAAGCTCTTGCTGCGGCTCTTGTATCCGCTTCCAGGATACCGCGGCGCCGCCTTTGCTCGTGTCATCCTTTGCCCCTCCATGCTTTGCAACCCCACCGCGGGCCTGCCTGATGCTTGGATGCTTCTCCACATTTTAGGATACCAGGACTGATGTCACACGCAGACATGTCACAGAACGCAAGGTTAACGCTTGAAGTGCTTCCGCAATACCCCGGAGGACCAGGGGCCCGGACCCCAGCGTGTCCTTCGAAGGTTATGGCCTGCAGCGTTCCACCACGAGGTGACAGAGCTGCTGGAATCCTCGGAAGTGTTCGGGCCGCTTCAAAGAAGTTCGTCTTGACATTCTGGTCTGGGCAGCGCACGACTTGCATCGAGGAACGATGCAGCACACGCTATCCACGACAAACCTGTCCACCCTGCGCTGGTTTTGGGGCTTGTTCATGCTCAAAAGGCAGTTCCGGCCCTTCCGGCAGCTTCGTAAACAATGTGAGCATTGTGTTACTTGCTTGGTTTATTCTCCAAACAACGTGCAATCGTGGCAACGACCAAAACCATACCAAAACCCATCGAGGTCGCGGATGCGTGTGGTAGCGCGGCCATATTGTTCCTAGCGTTACAGCATGTTACAGCCAGGCTGGCCTGCGGCTGCTCTTGGACACAGATGGCAGCAGAACCGGCGAGAGTTGCCAGAGTCTTTGCAGCAACGTTGCAGGAGTTTCAGCACTGCAAATGCAAAGACTGGCCACCGCATGGTGCTGGTCGGTGTAAGTCTTCGTCGCATGGCACGTGAGCAGTCGGCTTCCCCACTGGCTTGAGTCACGAAGGCAAGGTTTCAAGATACCCAAAGTCTTTGACTACTGTCAAGTAGGGTAACCAGTTGCAGCCATGTAGCAGTCCTTTTCGCCCGGATGTGGGTCCTGCGTCAGCGTCAGACCATCCGTTAAACCATCCGCCAGGTCCAGCGCTGATGCTGGACGGAAGGTCGCCGCGATGTCTCTGCAGGTATGCAAAACTCGTTGAAATTGCTTGGAAGGACCCAGGATCCGGCGACAGGACCTCGGCAACAGCTCTGCGTCGAGGTATCTTCGAAAGATGCCATGCAGAATGTCGTGCTTGAGATGCAGGCCAGCTCTGACAGCGAATTCTGGGCTCCAGTCCTTGCTTCCTGTTTGAGGCACTCTCCGGTGCTCGGCGGGTCCTGGTGTCCGTTTGCCTGGCGGCCCTCGGGCCTCTGGGAGACGTGCCGGCCACGTGGATGCAAAAAATCTGACGACTGCGCCGTCTGAGAGCTCAAGCCAATTCAAGCCACGTGGGAGGTGTTAGTCCACCACCTCCATTTTGGATCAAGGCAGCTGGATGCTTGTCGTGTCTTAAGTTAAGTAGTCACTTCGCTGCTTCACTTTCGCTGCTTTGTATCCGAAGGTGCAGCCTGGCTCTCGTGGCGAGTTTCGAAGCTCGCAGACACCAAGTCGAGTTGCGGGACTCCGAGGCAGGTCGCACTCTGAAGCGCACAGAGAACGAAACGGATTCGGCCGGCTCTAGAGTCGAGAAGATCGAAGGCACACGTCGCGTTTTGCGTTTGGAGCGTTTTTCGTGATCTGCTCCGGTGCCCAGGTGTTGAAACCGTTGTTGCCGCCTCCGATGGTTGAGCCCAAGACGTTCTCCGGAGCCACCGACAAGGAACAGAAAAGCCACAGGCTCTTTGGCTTGCAGAAGGTGGGATAGCAGGAAAGCAGCAGTTTTGGGATTTATCCTGAGTCGGTATATTGTATACTGATATCGCTAGAGCTCCGAGTTCGACGCCGAAAGTGCAGCATGCCATCTGCTCCAGTTGCCCCGAAACATGCAATCCATGCATCCTTTTCCAAACTCCTAGTCGGAGCTGAGCACCAACGAAGCTGCGCTGAGTATTAGCAGTGCTGCTGTTGCTGCTGCTGGCACTGGCACTGGTGCCCGCGCTGCGTTTTCGCTGTTACAGTCACTAGAGTAGGGAGTCCCAGTCCTCAGGCTGGCCGAAGGCCTCCGTCAGCTGCCGCGACCCCGGGCTTTCGTCCCAAGCCCGGCTCGCCCGCAAGCAGAGCAGATCCGCCGCAGGCCAGGCGCAAGCTGAGACACATTGTGACCGATACTCCGGCGAGCAATTCTTCCAGACCTTCATCTCCAGGCGAAGCAACTCGGTGGAGCGTGTGGTCTCGCACCCGTTCCTGGAGCGGGAACCCCAGTGCCGCCTGGGTGTTGATCTGCCTGTCTCCACAATTACTCGTAGCAGTCGTAGCACAGAGAAATCATTTAAATCATTCGGTAAGTGCTACCTTTGATGCGACAGGGCATTCTTTGGCATGCTAGTCAGAGTCTGAGTGCCCCAGCTCGGGTCCCATTGGTACAGCGGTGCAATGTCGATCTTGGAGCTGCGGCGGGGAACGTCGGAGATTGCAGCGCTCGGTAAGGCCGCACGCTGGCAGGCAGAGTGCAAATGTGAACAACTGTAGCAGCAGAGTTTGAACTCACAAGCGCGAATCACGGTGCCTTGAGCGGCTCAAACGGACTGTGCAGGCCGCGGTGGCGAAGCTTCATGCCTTGCACAGCCAAGAGTTGCAGCCGGGTATCGTCACGCAGCTGAGCAGCAAAGATCCAAAGCGGAAAGATACTGTCTTGATTCGCAATGCTTCGCATTGTCATCTGCCCGGCTTTGAGATACAATGCGCTGCTGCATGCCTTGGACAAGGCTCGAAACCGTCAGGAGTCAAGAATGCATGAAAGTGTCTTTCATGCGCATTTTCATGTGCGGCTGCTATGGTTTTTTGCGGTGTGAATCGCTTGGACCATGTGGGGCGATAGTTTTAGGGGGATCGGAGGGGTGCAGACGAAGATTCCTGGCAGGGCTCGCAGGCGGCGGGAAGCATGCAGCTCTTTGCTTCCCTGCCTTCCTTGCAGCTGCAAGCAGACATGGTGACCCTTTGCACAGCCGCCACCTCCAGCAGCCGAGGCCACTGGACTAGGAGAGGCTTAGCCGCTTACCCCGCAAACCCTTCAAGCTGGCGGTCTTGGGGAACGGTCTATGCGAGGAGTGACCTGTTCCCAACGAGCAACATGGGATTCTACAGCTGGAATCCCTGAGCAAAGCGCAGGAAGCTCTTGTACCGGCCACAACGGATTGTTCGTTTTTACTTATCTTGAGTCAGTAGTCCTGAATTAGCGGAGTTCCAGCTTGAAGAACAGCTCGAAGTCTGCGACCGCAGTCCAAAGCAGACCATAGCCCTAAGCCGTCAGATATGCCAGATACTAGCAGGCTACGTGGGTGGCGGTGGACTACTGTGATGGTGATGCCGATGTCGATCACAACGACATGCGATACTAGTAGTCATGATCAAAATCGGTGCGAAGATGACCCAAAACATCATGGAAACCTCCTTGCGGTTCTGCTTTTGGCAAAAGAAGCAAGCGAGGGCTTCAGTGGAGCTCGGCCCTGCAGATCCTCGCTCAGGGAGGTCAACAAGGACCTCTACGGCGGGGGGGAGGGGGGTTGCTTTGAGAGCTTCGGGCCCCCCCTGACCTCCCCCGGGGTTCCTCCTTCCGGGTTGAGGTGTGGGCAGGGAGAAAGACTGGAAGTGATTCCTCTACACATATTAATATATATTAATTGCAACTACACCTCTTTCATTCAGTCTCTTGATCCTGGAAGCGCTACATGGCATCAAAGCCCAGCAAGCTCGACACTATGGAAGCTACGAGAGCACGAATAGAATGCGGAAAGGCAGTCGCTGGGAGTCTGGACACGATTGGCGGCGTGAGTTGAACATGAAATCAAAGTTAAGCTGCTGGCGCTGCCCGCAGAAATCCTTCCACATTCGCCGCTTCGCCGACCAAGTCAGGGTTTCGGGCTTTGCTCGTGCTGTCTCAGAACTCATAGTGTTTAGGTCAACAGGCTGTCGCCTCCCACCTCCGCCATGAATCTCAGCCTCAGCCAGTTGCGTGGAGAGCTGCTCTGAGTTCGGAGCTTGCATTTGTCCAGCGCTGCGCGGGTTTCGCTTTTGCGTGTGCCCACATTCTCGGAGCGGTCTCATCCCCTAACTCTTCCCAAGCGTCGATGTTGAGAACCAGGACTGCAGGCGAACAGCTTCACAGGCCTTTTGGGGCGCCTTTGGAGAGCTGCCAGGATTATTCACATCCAGCTTGGAGGTTTGCGAGTTTGAGAGCTCATGTTGATGTCCAGGCCGGTGAATGCCCCGTGCGCAGGCAACGCAGCGATGAGCGCCTTGGAGCGCGGAAGCAACTGGCAGCTGGCAGCCTCCATACTTTTTCAGGCCGAGGGTGCGGCTGTTTGTTGACATGATGTAGATTCGCCATCCTACTCGCTGCAGGGGCACCGAGTCTCGCCCCAACTTGCCATTAAGTTAAGAATTCCTCCGCGCAGGGTCAGCCACAGGCTACACGACATGTGGTTGCAGGTGTCGCACTTTGATACCTGCTACCACCTCTTGTAAAACATGCTGACCGTGATGTTTCACTGTTATCACGAAGCTGCTGCTACCACATGCGCGTGCTTGCTGCTTGCCGTGGCCCCCACCCCATGCGCGCGCGCGCGCGCGCGCCCCTGCAGGCTGTGGAAAGTGGCCCGCAGCCGGATCGCATTTCGTTCAACACTGCCTTGGCCTAAGAGAAGTGCAGATCTTCCGATGACCTGCTGGACGCAGACGACGCAGAGTATGTTGGCACAGGTTATCACAGCCCTCGGGCGCAGCAGTGAATGGCAAGCAGCCTTACAGCTTCTGGAGGCTCGGAGGTGACCGAAGCTGCGTTTGGCACTTGTGTCACGATCAGGACTTCAAGTCGCAAGAGTTGGAGCCGGGTGCTATATCCTTCAACGCTTCCATCGCCGCATGCCGAGGACTTAGGCCCAGGGCTGCGACACTGTGCAAGTGCGTAGAGATTCGAAGCCCGGCACTGACGGATGCGACTGAAGCCGTTTGCTTTCTTGGCCCATCTGTTCTGTGTTTCTCCGTGCAAGTGCATGTCAATGTCCGCAGAGGTGCCGGCACCAGCGACGCAGATGCCAGCCAGTGGCATTTGGCGCTGCACCTGCTGAGGACAGAGCTCCTGGTCCCGACATCTCCAACCGTGATGGAAAGCTGAGCCCTAAAATCTGCGGGAGGTCTTCATAAGAAACCCTGAATTCGTCCTTACAAAGAGGAGGAAGGGGCAATGGAGTCAGAAATCCATAACAAACAAGCTCATATGCACAGTCCTCCTCTCCCTTGTGAGCCAACTGGAGTTCCTTGGAACTTGACGGATTTGGGGTCCGGTCCACAAGCGTTGCGTTTTCAGGGTTCTATTTGCAGATTCGGGCGCACCCGCTTTCTATCCTGCCGCGGTGAAGGAAGCGATTTGCATTTGGGCCACAATTGCCTTCGCATTCCTCGCTCTTCTTTGCCACTTTGAGCTGAAATGCACCACCCACATGATATCACCTCTCCGATCCCTCACCATGTCGCCATATGCCGCCCACTCCCTCCCCCTGCTGTCCTGCCGCCTCTTGCTGGCACGTGTGGGGAGGACTACCTGCTCTCTCTGCTCCCGCTGCCAATGTCTGCGCCTTGACCAGCCCTGCATGAAATCTTCCTGGGAGCGTTCTTCGATCATTCAATTGTTCGGATGACACCTCCCTGCTCCTATTCCTTGACCGTGCCCCTCAGGATTGGGCGTTGTGATTTTGATTGTTTGAACACGTTCCACCCCCATCTTCTTCGGGCAGAATCGGCCTTCCATGGCAGCGGTAGAGGTTGCTCTTTGCGGACTCAGGTCCGTCTCCCCCCACTTTCCATCCTTTGGCCGTCTGACGTGTCTTTGGAGCTTCTCCGGACGATGGGGTCGGCAGAAGAAGACCTTTATGAAATGCGTCTGCTGAAATGAAATGTGCAAACCGCAAAACCCGCGCATGATTGCGTTTAGCAGCAGCAGCAATTTTGAGAGTCGATGATTTCAAGGTGTGATGTCGATCTTCATGGTTCTCATGGTGATGCGGTCAGCATAAGAATAACTTCCTTCCAGAGCAGCAGCAGAAGTCGGCACGTCCGCCAATGTTGTCATCGCCTCTCAGCCCGTCGCCAAACTCGAAAATCCCTGAACACCGGAAGTAAACTACAGCGGCCCCATCCGGATTCGGGCCTTTCTGAGAGTGTCAGTGTTCCAGTTTTTTCGAAACAGGCCTTGTGGCCGCAGGTAGTATGGAGGTGGGAGGGGTGAGCGAGTGCGAGCGGCAGCAGCTACTCTTGCCACTTCAGCTTGGCAGGCAACCGGCCATCGAAAGCGGATCACAAGTTGTTTCGAGCCCGACGAGCAACCCGTACACCCAAAAGACTCGCGCCCTCACCTGATTCTAGAGTGTTCCCTGCTGTGCGATTTGGTCAGCTGGGCGGTGAAAAAAGGCCCCTTCACAATTGGCGACAAATTGAAACTTCTCCTATGGGGCTCTATCTCCGGATGTTAAAAGCCTCACCGCCACGATCCGCCACGAATGCCAGCATCTATGAACTGAGGATTTTGTCTGAATCGCTCAGTTTTACTTAGATGTGGGGTTGACATTGTAACTCCCCAGCTCGTGACTTGTAACATGGTGCAAACTCACAACATTCAACTCTGAAATCCGAATTGGAGCAGGGAAGCAGACAGAAACACAGGAATCTGATGTAGGTTCGCCTCTCCCCTCCCGCTCATGTCGTCACGTGATAACACACCCTAGTCTCCCTCGGACTGGGAAAGGGGGTGAGGTTGTTCAGCATTCATGCGCTGTACAGACATCAGGAGGGGGCGGAGCTTCATTGAGGACTTTCCGAAGTTGGAAGCCTGCTCTTCCTTACTGAGCGCATGTGGCAGGGCGGGCCGCTGGCAAGCAGCACTCCACGCATTTTCCGGGATGTGCTCCTGGGGCCCACGACCAGATGTGGCTGCATGTGGGGCGCTGCTGGATTCCTTTGCTCGGGCCGGGCTTTGGGTGCAAGCGTTGCAACTGCTCAACAGGATGAGCCTTAGCCGCTCTCTGTCTCTTCCGGAGCCGGACATGGCGGCATACACTGCGGTCATGAGCGCATGCGCTGTGGCCTTCAAGTGGGAGCACGCCATGACTTGTTTGCAAGATATGCATCATCGGCTCGTCAGGGTCAGCGTGGCCGCGTACAATGCAGCCGCAATAGCATGCGAACGTGCAGTCCAAGTTCAGCCACTTTTTGACCTCGTGAACGGTATGCAGACGGGTCGACTGCAAGCGGATGCTATCACATACCTAGCTTTGACCAGCGCGTTGGGCAAAGGGCAGCAGTGGCAACAGGCCCTGGGAGCACTTCACAGCTTGGGCTGCTTTACTGTGCAGCCGTCGCGGAATCTGGTCAACAGTGCAATCACTGCATGCGAGAAGGGGCATGCCTGGCTTTCAGCAATGTCAGTTTTTCGAGAGCTGCACCGCTTAAAGATCCAGCCAACCGTAGTCTCCAGCAGTGCAGCAATCACTGCAGCAGCCGCTCAACAGGAATGGAAACCGGCAGTCCGTTTGCTTGACGACATGAGCTCCTGGCAAGTGCAGCCCGACGAGATTGCGTGGAATTCGATGCTGGATGCATCGGAGCTTTCATCGCAATGGACCCTGGCTTGCAAGCTGCTAGCCAGGATGGCGTCATCCATCAGTACTGTGGCACTCCTGGCCGCAGCCGGTGCCTCCGAAGGGGCGGAGCACTCGAAGGCGCTGATGCCTCTCCTTGCACAACTGAGAAGCCAGTGCAAAAAAGACTTGGTGGACGAAGCACAGCGACGGAACGTTCGAGCTCAGGAAGAGCCCAGCAGCTTGTCGCATGTGCTGGAGGCGCACGAAGTGCTGGCAGCCCATGGCGCGGCCTCTTTCGAGCTTCAGCAGGGAGCGGCCACGGCCATATTCCGGCCCTGCTTGGCATCTTTGCAGAGCCTTTGCGACCACGGTGTCCGGCCTCTAGAAGCAACGTCGCAACTCTGGGAGCCTGTGCTGGAAAGGCAGTTCAGCCTAGGCCTGCACTGTGCTGTGGCATTCGCAAGACTGAGCTGTCCAAGTGTTGCATAGTAAGACATGATACATCCAGCAGCGTAGCTGATACGCAGGCGATGTCTTTACCCGCCTCGCCCTGGACAATGTGGCCATGGCGGAACGGCCACAAGGGCGCAGCCGGTCGAGTTGGTCCAGCAGAGCAGCCTATGCGTCGCGGTACGTCTCCCGCCAGCTTTCCGGCAAGACGCCCTCAGCAGAGAGCTTGGCCGGATGGTTGGCTTCTTCCTTAGCGATGAGAGAGGGGAGAAAATGGAGAAACATCAGAGGCCTCGTCCTCGGATATGGTGGTGACTCTGATGAGGTGGGGCCGCTAAGGCCCGTTTTCGTGCAGCACGACAGATCCAGGCCCAAGTCATGGGAAATAATTGAAATAATGGAAGACCCTCGTAGAGGTAGCTTCACCCCTCAGAGCAATGTCACGCCAGCAGTGCGAGCTGTTACATGTTGAGTTTTATCTCCGTCCTGGTGAAGTTTCGAGTCAGAGTAAGTACTTCCACATGGTCGGCGGATCGCACTGCACCGTCAGGCACGCAGAGAGGTTGGCGCTCAAGCAACTCGTCACATCAATTGCGAAGTGGCGTGGCACATGTGGCAGTGCCAGTTGATGTGTCGCACGGAGGGTCGCTTTTCGGCTGGCACATCCACCTTCAGAATTGATCCGTGATATGCAACCTGATCAGTGCCAAGCGCTGCGGCAAGAGCAAGGCCAAAAAAAAGTTCGTGAGTTGTGGCATGCTTCAGACTTGCCGAATCGGTTCTGGCTCCGCATACTTTATCCTTTACACCCGTACTCTAGCTTGGGGTGGTCCCACATGCCGAATGGCATCTTAGCATCGTCCGTTCCAGGCACCGACCGTTCGCCGTTTCCGATGTGAGTCATGTCTCGACGTTTCCAGATGTGTCCGCCTCATTGACCTGCCCGGCTTGTTTCGCGTGCCGCAGTCACGCCATGTTTTGTCTATGTGGAACGAGGCACGTTTCAGTCGCTTGAACTTGGTGCAATCTGCCCTTGACTGCTTGATTGCAGGAATTGCCGAAAAAGGCTCAGGAGGCTGGTCAGTCTCGGAGGGGCTTTTTGACCCATGCAGTCACCCGCGACACCAGACCGGCTTCCGACTCCCAGGCAGGTCACTGCCCACTTGAGCCGAATCTGCAAGACGGATGTCGTGGCAGCGTGGCATGGGCTCAGCTGTCTCCAAGAAGCTGCAATACAAGCCAACATTATTCACTTCAACACCATAATCAGCGGGTGCCAGAAGCACTCCAACTGGCAGCTGGCGCTTCATCTTCTCGGCAGCATAGAGCAGCAAGGCATGCTAGCGGATGTCAGGAGCTGCAGCTCAGCATTGGAAGCTTGCAGCCGTGCTGTAATGTGGGAGGCCGCGGTGACTCTATTTGGTTCCTGCCTGGGTTCCGTGCAGCCGGACGTTATCCTGGCGAGGGCTTCTGCAAATTTTGGCAAAGCATTTGTGAACACTGCGAAGAGCGAATCAACGACCATAGGAGGTCCACTGTGAAAGCCTTGCTTCACTTCAGCCTGTCAGGTGAGCTCGGCGATCTCAGCATGCGGGGCAGGCAGCCAGTGGCCAGCAGCGCTGGACCTCCTGCACACCTTGTCGACCTGGCAGCTCCAGGCAAGCTTTGATGACCTGTTGTCTAGACTGCGGGCCCCCTCAAGCATCACCCCTGCTATGATAAGAGCGTGCTGAAGACTGTAGAGGAGAAGGCAGGATTCGTAGAACTGTCCCTGCCGCGACCAACTTGCCTCGCTTTGAATCCTGTGAAGGCGAGTGAGATCACCTACACTAACTGCTTCTCGGCCCTGGCGCGCGGGGAGCAGTGGCAACAAAGCTTGGCCCTGCTGCTCTCCATGCCCCAGGCAAGGCTCCAGCCCAATGCCTTCAGCTTCAGCGCTTGCCTCAGCGCGCCCCTCGACCAAATTGGCATTGGGACACGTTGGGACTTTCGAAGTCTTCTGCACTGGCCGCACCCCCCCTGCCCCCGGCCTGTCTTCAGGTGCGAGACGAGAAGCAGCTGGTCGTCTGCCTTGCAGATCTTAGAGCTCATGCCAGGCACATGCGAAGAAACATGGTTTCATTTCGGTATGGGTCCATCTTCCGAAGTAAGCCTGAACAGATCCCGTGTTCATATGCAGGTTGGACGATGCCTGCCTATAATTCGGTGTTGAATTCGTGCGTCGCTGGCTCTCGCTGGGACCTGGCACTTGGCCTGTATGATTCTCTCAAAGCCGGAGAGGGGCTGAACCCGACTTCGGTGACCTACACAGCGCTGATGGGGGCGGCAGCACAGGCACAGCTATGGACCCTTGCGCTGCATCTCGTGACAGAGATGCAGCTCCTGCAGGTGCGCAGCAGCACCATCACATGGAACAGCTTGATGGATGTTCTCCACGGAGCTGAGCAGTGGCTGCGAGCTCTGGAAGTTTTTACGCAACTTCCGAAGCTCAGTCTGCAAACGGATAGTATCAGTTTTGTCACAGCCATCCGTGCAGCAGCATCCGCCAGCAACTGGCGCCTTGCAATTGGCCTACTTGCTGACATGCCGAAGGCCAGAGTGGCTGTGGACAGATTCGCCTGCAGCTCGGCAATTCAGGCATGCCACCAAGTTTCGCAATGGCAGCAGGCCATTCGCATGTTTGCATCCACAACATCACAAAAAGTGGAGATTGACTCTGTCGTTTGCACAGCTGCCATTGCTGCAGCGGGGAAAGCAGGATGCTGGCAGCATGCTTTGGGGGTGCTGCGATTCATGAGCACGCAGGATATGCAACGAAATGCTGTCGTGTATAGCTCGGCTATATCTGCATGTGCCAGAACGGGCCAGTGGCAGTTGGTTTTGGACCTTGTGCAAGAGATGGTGGAAAACGGCTACAGGAGCTTCTCAGCGTCCAAGTATGACCACACGGTACAAGCTGGCAGTTCCCTGGATTGCTTCAAGCACACCGTCCTCGTTTGTTTGCTGCAACACTTCACCTCCACGGCGGAGCCTGTCCATTTCGTTGATACGCATGCAGGGAGAGGCATCTACCTGCTGGATAGTCGCTGCAGCGAAGAAAGTCAGAACTCTGAATACGGAATCACTCAGATGCTGCATCGGCTTGGAGAGACTCCGATGCCGCCCCCTGCAGCACGGGAGTATGTACTTGCAGTGAAGAGACACAACAAGAGTACTCTCAGTACTCGTGCCGGCCTTCGTTTCTATCCAGGTTCGACAGTCTTGGCTTTGGCATGGCTCCGGCCGCAAGACACGGCGACCGTTTTCGAGATCTCCGAGGAAATGTTTTCCGACCTGGCTGGCAATATCCGACACGTCAACACAATGTGTCGGAAAGAAGCTATTTGTGCGGATTCTTACTGGTGGCTCCTTCACAGACACATCCCAACGGGCAAGGCGCTCGTGATGATCGATCCGCCATGCGACCCTTACGACCTGCACATCGCATGGAGCCTCTTTCTGGTCAGGAAGTTGCGACAGGAGCGGCCTCAGTGCTGCATTTTGATGTGGTATCCTTGCCTAGACATCCTTCAAACCTCCAACCTCTACGGCCAAGCTGCTTTTCTGAACACCGGTGAGGTCTTGGCTGCAGAGTTTGCAGTAGAAGACCCCACTCGGACATCACTACAAAGTTCCGGAGTGCTTATTTTCAATCCACCGCCTGCTGCAGACATGCTCGAGGAATTGCTGCATTTTTTGGCTGGATGCCTTGGCTCAGGAACTGCAGAGGTGCGCGTGAAGGTCTTTCAACTTTGCGCCAGTGAAACCTCGAAGAGCGAGGGGGGACATGAAAATGATGAAAATGGCGCCTTCCATGGTTATAGGGAAGCCCTGCGAAGCCCTCCACCGCATGACCTTTTCGCATTGAGCACAAGATACCGCAGCCTCAGCCCATCTCAGCCGCCTTAGGCGCGGTCTTCATCACTGGCTAGCACCATCCGACCCTCTCGTGGCGGCCTTGGGTTCGACTTAGACTCTTCTGGTCGTTGTCGGTTCTGTCACAACTGCCCTTGCAGAACCTTTTCAGAGGTGCACAAGAAGCCAGGACACATTTGGACGCAGGACCGGCGAAGGTTTGGTGAGTTGTTGAAGCGCAGCTCATTACGGTCCCTTCATTGTTTCACATCCAACAGTTCCACGAGTATGTCAAGTCGCGAGTTTTGACGTCGTGAGTTTGCTAGGGCCAGGTGGCAAGCAAGCGAAACATTGCTGTGTCTTTCTTGTGAGGAGCTCGGAAGAAAGAGACCTGCCTGCACCTTAGCTGATACCCCCTAGGCAACGGGAAGCTATGCCTTGTGGCGCAAAGCCTTGAGGGTGCACCTTGCTAGCCTCCTGACACCGGTGCAGCAATCGCTACCTCCACAGATCCAGGCATCTGCCAAAGCGACAACTCGCATGGCCCTTAAGCAATGGCGACCTGCCAAGCCACCTAGGCTTGAGGCGTCCGGACTTCAAGCAGCAGATTTGCATGAAGCCACCACAAACGCTGATTTCCACCCAGGTTGCGGTCAAGCGGCAGTCAGTGTCCCAGACCTGAAGAGTCAGATGTTGGTTTGGCAGGTGTTGGCCTTCTGCGCAGACTTCGGTGCCCAAGGCCCGCAAGCCCACAGGATGGGATGACGCTTCGGAGGCCTGGGGCCTCGATGCTAATCGCGTGCACAGAGCTCAGGCTGCCGCTAGGCTTTTGAGAGCCGAGGCCCGGGACGGCCCCAAGTACCGCCGGGACTTCCTGGCTCAGCTCTGCCGCCACGTTTGGCGATGTTTGGCGTGCGACGCAGATGCGTTTTCTTGCTTACGCGTCGTCTCACGGCCCCATGTTTTGTCGCTGCATGCTCTCATGCAAGTGCGTGGGCGGAGGGCTCCCTGAGACAAGACACTGACCGATGATGTATCAAACGCGCTGTCGAACTCGCGGTGACATGCAGGGTTTACCGTGTGCAGGGCATGATCATCCGTGCCCTTCGGACGCCGCCGAGTCGATCAGGAATGCAACTTGAACGGGCATGACCATGTTTTGACATTGCTTGCGATGACTTTGCAGCGATATTTTCCCTTGTATTCCAATATCTGCATCATTGCTGAAAGTAGTTCTTGTTGACAACCGTCACTTCGCACGCGGAGTGCCGCGGCCCGTTGAACAACATGCATGCTTCGGCTCTGGCCAGGCAGCATGCGAAAGTTTGGAAACTGCAGGAGCAGTTGAGCAGATGCCCAGCCCTGAGAGCTATAGTATCAGCTATAGGTGATGACAGATTGAGGCCCTGCCTTCCTCTGAACGCAGCTACCTAGTTGCATGCGAGCTCTGTCGATGATGGACGTACAATCGGATGACAAGCCAGGCCATGTGGAGAAGGAGCGCCAAGAGCAACGGTTTGGTCACGTTCGAAGAGCATTGGCTGCAGCGAAGCAGGACGAAAGGGAGGGTCGGTCATGGTCGATCAACAAGTCAACCAAGCTGGGGTGAGTTGCGGCGCTGCTTGGCAGTGAGTGTCCGCCGTGGTCATCACATCTCCGTTCTGATGCAAGCCCTGCCCGGGCAATCTTTTACGGGTATACGCTCTTGATCTGCATTCGGTTGGCGGGTTCGTAGTGGTACGAAGTTTGAACTGGGTCAGACATAGAGGCACAGGACGAGTCAGTGCCGAAGACGGCAGGAGCTGAACACCCATGGGCACGAGCGCAAGCCAGGCGAGCTGTCATTTTTGTTTCAGAACAAGTGGCATGGACCAGGTCAGGGTAAGGCGACCATGAACTTTGGCCCTGTGCTCCAAGGTGTTCGATCAAGCCGCAATAAAGATTCGAGGCTTTCGTGGGCACAGACATGGTTTCTCATGTTGAGCACGTGTCACTGTTAACTGTTACGGGATATCAGTGATTGGGAATCAACTCGTTCACTCGGCAAGATGCACTGGTTCTGAAAACTTGCCACCTCCGCTCCCCTCCCCTTCCCCTTCCCATTCTCCCCGTCCTTGCCTTCCCCGTCCCCTTGCAACCTCTCCTCCCTGGCCTCTATCTCGCTCCTTCTTTCGGCTACATTCGGCTAAGAGACAGCCAACCTGCCAGCTGCTCTCCGATACATTTGGGTGTTCGTCCTTTCGATGCTGGCAGTCTTTTACTTTACTGATTGCCGAAAAGTGCGGTTGCTTCGTGCTCTAGTTGTGAAGCGGTAGACAGCTAACTCAGGTCAGTTCATGTCAGCGGTTCAGCATGTCAGTCTTTCGAGCTTGGCTTGCCGTAGCATTTGCTGTGACACAGACGTTCGATCCGCAGGCGCCTTGAGTCCCGAGAAAAGTTGTGCGTCCCGCACCAGAGGTTAGGTTACGTTCTGCATGGTAGCGGAGCGCTGGTGACGACCAGTGCTCCTGTGGCTGCCTTTCCTCGACGTCGCAAGGGGACGCCCTTGTCTTCACTGCCGGGACCCTTTTCCTGGTCGATTACCCGTTTCTGGACACGGGGAAGGTGATCTCTTCGGAAGAAGTTGAACCGCGACCGCTTTTACAAGTCTGCTTTGGAGGCCCGCTCTTGGGCTAGTGTTTGCCAGGACTTCAGCCAGGAGCCCGACAGGACTTCTGGAAGTTTTGGGTACCTGTCGTGTGGAGACAAGGAAGTTTTCCTTGTGACTGGGGAGTGGTAGCTACGTGGATTGGGCCGAGTGAGCCCCCTCCGCAGAAGAGATGGCTACGGATGCAAGCGAGCCGGCTGGACCAAGGCTTCAGGCAACGAGACCTCCCGGGTCTCCTGTGAGGCCCAGATCTCCTGGCCCTCAGTATGGCGCCGATGGCTTGGATGGCGGCGGCGCTGGGGGCAGGCGATTCGTGGACTACCGCATGGACCCGGAACCGTCGTGGAACGGTGAATGGCCTGAGCAGCAGTACCGGGAGCACGCAAGGAAGCTGAAGCTGTGGCTGATAGAGGCAAGGGAGCGCTTGCCATCAGCGCTTATCGGCAAGCGCATCCTGGATGCGATTGCGTATGGGAGCCGCCTTTCAAGCCTGGTCTCCCACCTGTCGGTTGAGGAGATCACTTCGGACGGCGGCTGGCAGACCATCGTCGCGTGCATCGAAGAGGCCCACGACTACTTGAAGATCGCTAAGTTGGAGCAAGCTTTCAGCGAGGCTGTGTTTAAAGGTCGCCGAAAGCATGGACAGTCGATCTCGGCCTTCCTGACAGCCAAGAAGGCTAGCTTCGCCGAGCTGAGAAAGCAAGGGCTAGACTTGCTGGCCACTCCGGCTGGCGAGCACCTCTTGGGGCATTTGGTGCTGCGCCAGGGCGGCTTTACGGCCGACCAGCAGCAGCGGATCCGGGTGCTCACGGATGGAAGCATCGAGTTCAAGAAGGTGGAAGGAGCGATTCGGAAGATCTTTGGAGACGGAGTAGATGATGCTTCCGACCACCGCGGCCAAGCGTACTGGCAGGAGCAACCCGATGGCTCTGAGGACTATGTGGCCTACTACCCGAACGGCGAGAGCTACTACCAGGACGGCGAGATCTACTACCAGGACGACGAGGTCTACTACCAGGACAACGGGGTCTACTACCAGGACGGCGAGCACCCCTTGTTCCAGGATATCCTAGAAAGTGGCGACAACGGCGAGGTGTACATCTGCTTGGATGAGCCAATGCCTCAGATGATGGAGGAGGACGAAGCTATGAGCTACTGCGGCGAGCTCAAAGGGCAAGCTCAAGGGCAAGCCATCTGGGAAAGGCTTCGGGGTGTACAGCTCTGGCATGGAGCGGAACTACGTGGAGCATCGACGAGCTCTACAACAAGCTCGGTCGGATCGAGGATTTGGCCGCGCTCCTCAGCAGAGGCCCTACACTTCGATCAGCGACATCAAAGCGCGTACAAGATGTCACCAGTGCAAGCAGCTTGGGCACTGCAGAGGCGCCGAGCTCCGAGCCCGATGTCTCCCAGGCCGGTTCCTCCTTCGACTTCGAGCCCCTCACCGGCCAGGACTGGGCTTTCGACGAACATGTTCTTCCTGAGCGAGCCTTCGTTGGAGACCGATTCGACAGGGACTTCCTCTGTGAGCAGTGCTGTGTACTATGTGGAGGCCCTTCAACAGCGTGGGCCCTGAAGTCTCGATGCCGGCCGAGAATAAGTTTTCCGAGGAGCTGAATGAGCTCAGCGCACTGGCGCAGGATGCGACCACGGGGCAATACCAACTCGGAGTGGGCATGGGTGAAGTGCCTTCGGTGCAGCCAGGTGGACCAGATCCCCAAGCTCCCTTTGGACAGGTTGCACCACTGGAACCAGGTTCTGGTCTTCCAGCGGCCGGACTACGAGACGCCCCAGGACCGGAAGAATGCCAAGGATGCCAAGAAGGACGTGAAGAGAAAGCAGAGGTTGGTCAGTTCTATGGCGATGCCAACGAGCTCCTCGGGGGCCTCCTGCAGCGACAGCGTTTGCGAGCCAGCAAGAGTTCCTGTCAATGGACATCGGGACCCCTCGTTTGAAGCTATCGGGGATTCGAGTGAGCGACTCCGACAGCATGGGGATGAGCGACCGCGACGCGGACGAGATGAACCTGTGCAAGATGGATGCCTCAGTGCCTACGGTGACTCTTTCGGCTCTGATGCAGCGCTGTCCCCACTGCTCCCATGGCAGTCTTCACCTCTCGCTGTGCGTCGAGGAGAACAAGGTGACGTGGCTGTGCAGCGGGGGAGTTCGTGGCTGCCCCTACCAGTGGCCGGACTATGCGGATCGCCTCACTTTGGCCACAGGACTCCGGCTCTGTGTGGTGTGTCAACGGGGAATACTTCAACAAGTGACACATCGAGACCGGGATGCGCTTCAGTGTTCTCTGTGCGGGGACACGAGGCCATGGAGTGGAACGAGGTGGTGATGGCCCACTACCGCAACGGCGGCTACAATCCGGCACTACTGCACCCGAGTCAATGAGGCCAGGTTACCGACGAGGTGATGAGACAGCTGCCTGGACTGGCCCGGGCAGTGGAGGCTGTGGCGTCGCCCAAGTCAGTGGTGTATGCCTTCACGGGCTCGGTGGTTCCCGAGCAACTTCCTGTCAGGCTTCGATGTCCTTTGAAAACTCGAGTAGTTGCCTCCAGCCCGGAGCCTGGAATCTGGAGTCTCTTGCACATTGACCGGGCCGCGGGAGCTGCCTACGACCTTGGTGCGGAGATGACTGTGTATGTGGTGCAGGAGTTCGCCGAGGACTTCCTGGACTATGTGACCGACCAGGACCTCGACCCCGTCGAGGTGACGATGGACCGGCGCATGAAGAAGAAGGTGGGCGACGCCTTGACCGATGTCACTTGGGAAATGGACCAGTACTTCGAACTGTGGGAGGAAGCGACTACGAACGACTCGGAGGATCCGGTGTCCACTTCAATGATGACCCCGCCAATCTCCTCTCTTCCTGGGACACCAGACGATCTGCCAATACTGGACGAACCGATGCCTGGAGAACTTGATGAACTACCACCAGTCGTGCACCAACGACCACGACCTCCAAGGCCTGAAAGTCAGCAGTTTGCAACAAAGGGCAGCAAATCGTCGAGATCCTCGCCGGCCAAACCTCCTTACAACCTCAAAGACCTCGGCCTCCCGAGGAGTCCACATGAGGCAGCCACGCTTCAAAGTGACCTCATCCCCTACGACTTCGAGTTGACGGCGCTGCGCCGAGACTTTCGGCAGTTTGGTTTTGGGGATGAAATATGGCGTGATCACTACGGTCAGGCGATGCTGTTGTCCATGTGTCCTCTGAAGAGCGTGGTTCCTTTGTTTGGCCCTGGACATCGGCACCTTCGCTGGTCAGCGGTGATGGTGCAAGCCGGTGATGGCTTGAGCGAGGTGGCTCGGGCCCCCTACCTCCTGGACTCCGTGATGGGCTGGCCTTGATGGTTATCTACCGCTGGTCTCCTCCAGCCCTTCAAGTGGACTCAGGGAACGACTTGCCGAGCGAGACCTATGTGACCAGTTTTGACTTGACGGATCGAGAGAAACGAGATATTCTCCGATGCCACGTGAACCTTGGGCATCCTCATCCCAAGGAATTCGCCCGTCTCCTTCGGGCCGCTGGATCTAGACATGACGTGACACAGTATGTGCTCAGAGAATTCGAGTGTCCTGGGTGCATACGTGAGAAGCGATCCCCGACACGACTTCCTGCCGCTACTCCGAGAACGTACGATTTTAACATCGTTATCGGGGTCGACCTCTTGTTTGTTCATGGGCTGAGTGCCAAGGCAGAACATCCTGTTCTGAATGTGACGTGCTTGGGGACCCTGTACAGCACATTCGGGTTGATCGACCCTCTCTCGAAGACGTCCTCCAAGGCCTGGGAAGGGTTCACACGTCTTTGGCTGCGAACCTTCGGTGCTCCTCAGTACTTGATGTTCGATGAGGGGCGCGAATTCACCGGAAGCACCTTCCAAGAGGGCATGGAACGACACGGGATCATTCCTCTTGAAGTGTCCCGACAAGCTCCGTTTGCCAATGGAGTTGTGGAACGCCGTAGCGGCTTGTTCAAAGAAGTGTATTATCGAACCAAGGAGATGGTGCAGCCGACGACTCTTCCTGAACTCGAGGCCCTCATCCTTGAGACAAGCTGGGCCCTGCAGACGTTGGTCAACCGCAGTGGGCGACAACCGTCTCTGGCCCTGGACACGCTTGCGGACCAACGGGACTATCATTTGAGCTCCACGCAGGACCAGGCGTGGGAGCGTGCACACACCATACGCACTGCAGCTCGCAAGGCGTTGATGGAGGTTGATGCCCGAGCCCGACTTGCTCGAGCCCGTTTGGCTCGACCGCGGCAGGAGATCGCCAAGCTGCAGGAACGACCGCTAAGGTTGGGCCATGCTTCGTGGTGTTGCAGGATGGTCAAACCATCAGGGTGACTCGGAAAGGACAGCTGTGGCGCTGTCATATCAGTCAGGTGTTCAAGATGGCTGAGAGTGAGAAAGCTGGGATTGAAGCAGTTCCCTTGAACCTCCTGGAGTCCAAGACCCGACTTCGCTATGACTCAGAAAAGATGCGGTTTGTGGATGTGACACAGGAGGTACAACATGAAGGTGAAGGAAGCGAGCTACTTGGACCCCCTGATGGACGCGAACCTCTCACAGAAATTCCCGTTCCAGATCCACCACAAGTACCTGAGAATGTAGATGATATAGGTGATGTTAGACCGCCTGATGAACGCGAACCTCTCGCAAAAATTCCCGTTCCAGATCCCGTGGTACCTGTTTTAGATCTTGGTCCGGAGTCATCTGGGGTCGTTGATGAAAGTTTGCCGAGTGTGCGGTCAGGGTCCATGCCTCCGGGCAGTTCACATGGTGGGGGGTCCTCTACGTCCAAGAGTTCTAGTTCGTCTTCGACGTCGTCTTCCAGTACTCCTCGTGTGCCTCAGGGACGTGATGAATGGCCACCAGCAGGTGATGGGACAGTTCTGAGAAAGTGGTCCCGGTATGATGCCAATCCTTCCAGGTTCCGGACTTCGAACTCAAAAGGTCCGATGTGGTGTGATGTGGTCCAGAGAGTGACGATCGACAACGACAGCAATGAGGTGCTGAAACGAGAGGACATTCGAGGTGACGAGCGCCCTCAAGATCTACATCGACTACTACCCCGACAAGTGCGCTCCCTGAGAACGGTGTTGCTGTACAAGCGAATCGAGGGCCATCCTGATCCTGGGGTGGAACTTACCGTCCCGGAGCAGCCTGAACGTGATGCACTACCTCCTGAAGATGCAGGACTGATTGACCAATGGGTCAAGCGAGGCCTTGATGATGTTGGTGGCCGGAAAGCCAAATCCCCGGCCCCCGCGCAACGCTCCCGGATCTTCGGGACCTGGGTGGCTGATCAAGTCACTGAGTGGGGCGACAAGTCCAAGCATCCCGTGATTGCCAATGGCCGGGACATGAGATTGTTCCACAAGCTGGAGAACGACGATGTGGTGTACCACGACGGTGAGTTGCATGGCAAGTTTGTTGGACTGACTAAGAAGTCAGGGAAGGAGCTGAACGAGCGGAACTTCGATGCCGAGGAGACGAAGATGTTTGACGAGGCCAAGGCTCTCGAGATCGGCAACCTGGAGAACGGATGCGCTATCCGTTTCATCGAGGACCGTGCCGAAGCCGATCGACTCCGAGCCCAATTTCGCCGACAGGGTCATGCCATCACGATTTGTACTTACAAAGAAGCAGCAGGAACTTGGCGAGAAGTGGAAAGCCAAGGCACGGTGGATCCTGCTTGGGCATCGGGATCCGGATGTCATGGAGTTGGAGCGCTTCTCCCCCACTCCGGCGACGCCCACGGTCTACCTGACGATGCAGATAATCAGCTCCCTCCGCGTCGAGCTCTACATTTCTACATCATGGACGTGACTTCGGCTTTTGGCCAATCCGATCCAGAACCTCGTCAACAAAGGCCGGCTCTTTGCATCCTTGCCGAAGACGGGGATACCAGGCAGACCAGCCTGGAGCCTCATAGAGGTGCTCACGGCTGTCTATGGATTGGTCAATGCACCAGCCTCTTGGCGGCGGACGGTGCGGAAGTTTCTTCTGAGTCTTGGGTACCATGAGTCGGGTACCATGAGTCGGTGTTCGACCCCGCGAAGTGCCGTGATCTCCTTGTCGGTGAGCTTGGCATCGTCGCCGTCCTTGAGACGATGTCGCCCCAAGACAATAGGGGGACAACTTCTCATCCACGTACCGACGCATGTCGACACGTATCTCGTACGTGGGGAGTTGCCTCCACTTTCCAAAACGGAATCTCTGGCGCAAACGGTCCATGAGCTCACCATGCCGGGCACCGCCGCCCTGAAGAAAATCATCGACATCTAGCAGCACCACCCCTGCACAGCCTCGGACCTTCTCGTCCTTGATGAGGGCGTTGAGCTCGGTCTTGTCATACGGCAGAAAAAAGAGGGAGGAGCAGGTGGTTCCCTGCTCTGGATTGCTAAGGAAGCGCGACCGGATGTCGCGGCAGCAAGCACAATGACGATGAGCTGGGGATCCGACGGTCCGACCATCAAGGACATCAAAGCCGCGAACAAGGTGATTTCAGAGTTGAAGCGGACCCCGGACTACTTCCTGCGGATCCTTCTTGTGGACCTCCGGACAGGGCTATGGGTGTCAGTGTCAGATGCTTCAGTGGCTAATGACAATGTCCGAAGCCAAGGCGGCTTCCTGGTGGGCTTCGCAGACGGCGAGATCCTGAAGGGCGACCTGGTCGACTTCAGCATCAACAGCTGGCGGAGCCACCGCCTCAAGCGGGTGGTCAAAGCCTCCCTTGGTTCGGAGGCACTGGCGATGGATGATGGGCTGGCTGAACTGGAGTGGATCAAGACGATGTTCGCCGAGGTGGTGATCCCAGGCTCAACGACCAGCGATGGCACTCGATATGGACCTGATGAGTCCATTGCCGTTGTTCGCCAGCAGGACCCCACCGAGGAGTCCATCTTGGCGACCGATGCACGAGCCCTGTACGACCTCTTTCACCGGAGGAGCGGGTAAGCTGGACTTTGCCGACGAGCTCAGATCGACGTGAGTGTACTTGCTGAGTCGGCCCGTGTCTTGAATGCTACAGTGCATTGGCTTCCCGGAATCTTCATGTTGTCCGATTGCCTGACCAAGCGGCTGGGAAATGCTGCGTTAATGCGGGCAAATATGCCATAAAAGACTGTGGCCTTCAAAAGTTGGCCAGCCTGACCGATGACCTGAACGACTTGAAATCTCCCCCTGATGGATGTGAAACGGTAGACAGCTAACTCAGGTCAGTTCATGTCAGCGGTTCAGCATGTCAGTCTTTCAAGCTTGGCTTGCCGTAGCATTTGCTGTGACACAGACGTTCGATCCGCAGGCGCCTTGAGTCCCGAGAAAAGTGTGCGTCCCGCACCAGAGGTTAGGTTACGTTCTGCACTAGTAATATCGGGCATGTGGGACTATCGTGGGACCGGGACAGGTGCTGACAGAAGTGCTAGGTATTGGCCTGTGATTATGTGGCTGCGGTTGTTGATGCGCATGTGTCACAGCTAATCACAGCAGTGGCAGCCACAGGCCACGTACCTAAGTGCCCACAGGCTAAAGGGGGAGGCTTCCACCACGCTGGGACCGCCACCCAGACTGCCAATGCAGATCCTTCATGCCTTACAGCATGCCGTACGCAATACGTCAAGCAGTGCATTCGCGACTTGCGGCTCGAGCACTTCGTCTCACATTCTGTCATGAACATGTTCGAGTAATCATGGCTTTAGTTTTGCACTAACAGCAACTACCAACATGGGCCACCAGCAAGACCTCCTCACCCCACTAACATTGACAAGCATGGTTGTAAGGCAGCTCCCACCTTGAACATTGTATGAAGCTTGCCGCCCAGGCCACTTTCGGAAGCCTTTGTGCCACTTCGCCCTCCAACCGCCTGTCACGAGATTTCAGCTTCAAGGCTATGACAATTGGCCAAGACAACCCTGCCAGACACGGCAGGGAGGAAATGCGCGAAGTATTGGGCTCGCGAAATCTTTGCACATCCGTGTCCCTGACATCCCTCTTTCTGGGCCAAGTGATTTCAGTCATGAATACACTGACAGGGATCTTCACGTCCACTTTGGCATCCGATGGGATAAGCATTCCGACCATTCAGTCCAGCCTAAACTACTTGTTGCTCGCGCCTCTCATCCTACTTGCTTACCCGCAGATCCGCCAAGAAGGCTTGAGGCTGCCATGGTGGCGCTATGCTCTCTGGGCTTTGGCAGATGTGGAAGGGAACTGTTTGGTCGTCCTTGCCTACCGTTATACCTCCGTGGCATCGGTGATGCTCCTGGATGGGTTTACAGGGGCCGTCGTTATGTTGCTCTCGCGCCTGCTTCTTGGAACGAGGTACTCCAAATACCACCTTGCTGCCTGCTTCGTTTGTCTCTGCGGTCTGAGCTTGACGGTCTTCGCAGACAGCTCCAAGACGGAGTCCACCCCTCTCGCCTGGTTGGGAGATCTCCTCGTGCTTTTGGGCTGCTGCTGTTATGCAAGTTCTAACATCCAAGAGGAACATCTCCTTAAGCATGGCTGCAGCCGTTATGAAGCGCTCGGAATGCTTGGCGTGTGTGGGAGCATCATCTCGTGCATTCAGGCCATCACGCTTGAGGGCCGCAACTTTGTGGAGATCACCTGGAGTTGGAAAGATATCGCATGTCTGATTGGCTTTCAGCTCTGCTTGTTTGGAGTTTATATTCTGGTGAGCATCTTTCTGCAAATTGCCGATGCCGCAATATTCAACATGTCCCTGCTGACCTGCGATGTGTACAGCATTCTCTTCTCTTGGCAGGCTGGCGCATCCGAGCCTGTAGCGGCTCGATAGATGTGTTTTACTTGTTCTGTCACCCTCATCATGCATGCCAACTTAGAGCCTCAGAGCTTGTAGGGCAACAGTTCCCACCACGCGTGCACGTGCAAGTGTTTCCAGACAGGTGCAGCACAAAGACATCAGCTGGACTTATGGCGCCGCTTTCGTTGTGACTCTCTCTGGGCTTCTCTGGTATCATCGAGAGCCTCCACCACAACAGCCAGGGCTGCCTTCATCGAGCCCTGAGCCGGAGCGCTTATTGTGGCAATGAGCCTCTTCTCATTTTGCGAAGCACCGGGCTTGGCCTTTCCTTCACTTGTACAGTCGGGTACAAACCTCCAGTTCATTCGCTTCCATTCAGCCTGGCGAGCGTCGGTAGCGCGACGAGATGAAGGCACCCAGAGAGACGAAGAGGAGGGTGACAAAATGACTAGCAGCTGAGCAGCTCTTGACGGCGTTCATCATACAGCAGCAGTCGCACGGAACAGCCGGCAGGAGAGCGCAGTACGCCCTCCTCAACCCCGAGTGATCTAAGAGTCGTCATACGATCGTGGGCACATGTTGAGAAAGCCTTAGAGCGCCCTGAAACGCGGACGCGTGAACTGTCCTTCAACCCCCAGTCAATCCAGGCCCCGATCGTGGTCCCCGATTGGTGGCTGAACAGGCCAAAACCTCAGAGAGTCTAGAAATCTTGCTGTTGCTCCATGATGCGATGAGATACAAGTAGTGTGTTGTAGTATACAAAACGACAATGGTTTCGCCCGGACCTCCGTTGCCAGGGGACTCGAGAGGGCTACCATGTATAGATTTCGATGTATGCATATATAGATATTATGATATATATATATATATACGTACAGATCCACTGCATTGATGGTTCATGGGTGCGTGGGGGCGTGCACCAAACATTGTAATGCTCAAAACTGGAGAAAAACCCAACCCTCCTGCTCCCCAAATTCCCAAAATTCTGGCATCGATGAATGGGTGTGGAACAGATTTCTCCAACTTTTTGGGTGTTGTCTGAGCATTGCAGTGTTTCGTGAGTTTGAGTTGAGGGTTGGTAATTTGGGAGTTGTTTCAGCCTTACAGTGTCTAGTGAGCTTCAGGACACAAATCATTGTAAGGTTAAGATGTGGGGAAATTTGCCCCTCGCTCAGCCATAGATGCCAGAATTTCGGATTGTGTTGAGCATTGCAGTGGTTCGTGAGGTTTTGGGTTGGGAATTCTGGAATTGTTTGATTGTTACAGTGTCTTGTGAAGTCCAGGGCTCGAAACAGCGTACTGTAGTTTCCAATGCAAGCTGATCTGTCAATTTACAGTGGTAGCTTAATATGCACAAACAGCGACGCATGTCAGACATGTGCAATCCTGCATCTACAACTTCCCTATGAGTTCATAGTTTATCAGCGGAGCGCGGGTCTCCCTCGGTTTCCTGACTGTGATATCTTACTAAAGCGCCCCGACTTCCCAACAAGCAGCAGACTTCTGAAAAGAGATACCGAATGCTTTGTGCTGTGGTTTAGAAGCTGTCATACTGTAGTTCGTATCACAAGAAAATGGTTCGCTTCAGCCTGCAAGGAGTGGAGGTGCCATCTTGAGCGCTTGCGGAACTCTTTTTCAGTAAACATAAAGCGTTGCATTTGGTTTGATGTCATATTGACGATTACTTCTTGCCGTCGAGGAGCCCCTCTATGCTCCTCCCTTGGAAAATAATTGAAAATACAGTGTTCACTTACAGTGGAGGTGTTTCTAATCTAGTGGAGTTGGAGTTCAATAATAAAAACCGCTCGGCTTCCTTAGTTTATAATGGAAAGGGAGCTTTCTTATGCTTTCTTCAAATGTCTACTACATCATATGGAGATGCCGACAGCGATAATCTGAAGAAGGTTCGAGTCTTCATGGTCAAGTTGCTAGAAGAGCGTATTTTGGAAGAAAGTGTAGATTTTTCGGAACGACAGGAAGATTAGGAGCCATTGGGTTCTTCTGTAAGCCAAGCCCAATCTAGTATATGATCTTCAGGAGTTTACAGATGCAGGCTGGAAGGCTTGGACTAGCTCTATCTCAAACGGTGCTGGAAACAGGGGAAGCGCTTATTCAGTATTCCGACAGGGCAGAGGCAGCCCCGCCCGGCGAAGGTGGATCTTGGAGGGTGTGCCCACACACATATACATTTACATATATATATATATATACACACACACACATTCTTACGTGCATACAAGAACAAACGAACAAAGCGATAATCTGGTTTAATTTAAAGCTTGGCTATAAGTTGAAAAAGCTTGGCTATAAGTTGTCCGCTGCGTTTTCGTGCAATTCAAATCTTAAACCTCATGTCGTGACGACCTACATACACCAAAACTCTCTCTCTCCCTCTATCTGTATACAGATGCATATGTATGCATGTATGTACGTATGTATGCATGGTGTGTGTATGTGTACATATATAATAAGGCATTATACATGCGTACATCCGCACATGCACGTGTTATACCCAAAAAAGGGTGTGATTGCACATGCTTCGCGTCGTCCGCAAGCGGCGGCCGGGCGAAAGGTCAAAGCCAGGAAATGAGTGTCGGATTGTGCAGATTGCCTGTACGGAATCGTCAAGGACATGGAAGTTCACAATCGTGACTTGGAGCCGGTCAGTGAGTTCACGGGCAGGAAGGGGTGGTGGAGGTGTTGCTCCCGCGAGGGGTGGGATTAAGGGCAGGGGAGACGAGCGAGTTTTTGTGGGAACCTCTGAGCGCTTCGGCCAGGGCCGAGGCGAATATTCATGTGGAAACATAAAACACAGACGGACGGACAGACAGAGATACATGCAGCGGCCCTGCGCTGAGGTGTGCGTGGTTTGTGGTTGCCTGGTGCCCGAGCGGAGTGCTCGCTACTGTGCAGGGTGTCTGCCTGGTACACAGCGAGAGGCAAGGCTTCTTGGGAGAGGGCTTCGGAGGAATAGTCGATTAAGAGTTGTAGATGCTCCCGTCACAGTACCCTACATCTGCATCAACGATGAAATTGTGCCTTTGCTGTCGCAGCATGAGTGTCTCTCCCGGGTGTGTAGCATCGTCCCAAATTATTAACTGACTCGATAGTTGATTCATTTGACGCCTCACCGCCTACGAAGCCTACGAAATATTGGGCTCGAAAACTGCGAAGGGTTGAGAACCGGAAGCCTGGTTTCGACACGTTCCGGCGGTTGATCTGCGTGGTCGCGTGATGGAATCTAGAAGGCCTGCGCCCTGGGCACCTTAAAAAAACACGCCGTACCGAGAACAGTTGTACACTCAAGCAGATCCGGAATGTGCACTTAAGTTTTGTTTGGAGGCACTGGACCTTCGCAAGTCCGTCGGGAAGAGTCTCGCAGGGCCCCTATGTGGTCTCACTTAGGCAAGTTCGTCCACAGCTAACTTATCTTGGAATTATCTGCCACTGCGTAGCAGAGTAGCATGGACACTTGGGTCTTCCAGGCCACCCAGGCCGCGCTGCAGCGCAAGACCGAGTCTCAGAACCCATCAGCTGTCAGAGTGCCTCGACCGATCAAAGCAGTGATTCAAAATGATTCAAGCCTTGGGCATAGACAGGCTGGAGATACAGCAAGAGGAGCGTACACAGCTTGAGGCGAGAAATTGGTGATGCTGCCATAGCTCCAACTCTAAACTACCGGCGGCTGTCCAGCATGGAAACTTTGCAGGTGAAGCATACCGACTTGGAAGCGAAGCTTTATGCCGCAGAGACTGGCCGGCCGGACCACTGACGTGAAAAGAGAAGCAGTCATAAGCACGGTCATGAAGCTTGCGAATCTTAACGGAGGCTAAGACGAAGTGGATGTAGCAATGACAGTCCCTGGACATTTGCCACAACTTCCTCGCCTGTGCGAACCCAGATTCTCCAGTAGATCGGGGCACGAGATGGGGCCACGAGTCAGTGCTGGAAGACCGAAATCCCTAGACATGTGACTGCAGGACGGCGAGTCGGAGTGGGGTGCCCAAGTTGAACACAAGGATCTTAGGTGTGGAAGGGTATATCAAGAGCTGCTAGCAGCGGGATTCACGCCAGCCGCAGGAATCTGAGACCTCTCAAAGCTGCTCTCGCAGTCGAACACTTCCGGTTCATTTCTCTCCTATTGCTTGGGGCGTGCTATTGACAATGCAGGTTGTAGGTGCACTACCAGAAATGTGTATATCCCGGAGAGGAGGGTCACAGAAACCAGGTCAAGCGGGGAACCCAAAAAACAAACCGTTCCACTACGGAGAATAGAAGCCCAATGTCTAGACACTTGGAGGAGGGTCAGCCTGTCGTTTGACTTTGCACTGCCTTTGCATCATCTCTTCTGCAGGGCCGCTCAGCAGTTGATGGTAATGCTGACTCAGCTCAAGACCCTGAAGCTCGACAGCGAGGCTGAGCTGTTGAGCTGCTTTTACGTCAGGATGCACTGCTTCAGAGTGGAATTTGAGTAGCTTCTGGATCTCAAGCGCTGAGATGCACTGAGACATGAAATGAGCACAAAAGACGACATGAGATACCAAGATGCATTCCTGCCGAAGATTGCCACAAGATGAGATGGGTTGTCTGACCTGCAATTGCATGAGTACGGACTGCTTTCCTTATAATTTTGCCTCCAAGCGGTGAGCCCTGCCTAATTTGTTCCAGAGCACAAGCCATGGATGGGACAGTGGTCGTTGAAATTCAGAGGGCTTGTGGCTTGTCCAACTCCGAATATCGCCTTTTCGACGTAACAAGTCGGATTCTGGGCTGTCGCAGAGTGAGGCCATATGTGAACTGCAAACTTCAGTGGGGGACGGCGATGACGGAATCTCGGGGCACTTCCTTCGTTGAGGCTCCTGAAGACGGAAGCTGGTTCCATTGGGGTGGCAGGCTGGAATTTCCGGTAAAGGCCGACTTCTGGCGGGCGTCGCGGTTCTCGATCTCCATGGAGGTGTTAGACAAGAGGGAGCTGCAAGGCACCTTGCGTGGGGACTCTCTAATCGGAACCGGCGCCACTTGGCCGCCATGACAACCTTTGCCTCTGTAACGGCCCTTGCCCCTTGACTTAAGTCCGCAGCTGCTGCAAGCAAGGAGATCTTCTTGGATCCCAACACGGTGGCATCCACACCGCAGCAGGGCATCGAACTCTTCCGAAATGGCAAAAGTGCTGGCGAGTTAATTCTGGGCGTCCGCATGGAGGCGCCAGACCAGGCTAGAGCCATCATGGCCGCCAGCACTAGCTGTCCTTTGAAGCTTGGCTGTGGAAGCAGATGGTAGTCAGAGAAGTCGTGGTCACTTCACTGATACAATGCTCTGGGTGTACAAGATGCCCCACTACAAAATGAACTGTCAGGCTCCCTGGTTCGCTGAAGTCAGGAAATGTCAGGAAATACCACCACATGACAAGGGGCACTGGTGCTGCGGGTGGTGGTGCTTGACGTAGTCAGCAGTTGCTGCTGCCCACAAGACGTTGTAGCCCGAGAGGGGTAGACGGTAGTTGCGTGTCTTTTCTCCGACCCAGTTTGTCTCCACGAATCATTGAGCAACCGCTTTTTTGGGACTGCTGCATCTACCGTACTTGCAGCAGGCCCTGCGATTCAGAAGAATGTTGAGGGGGGTTACCATGGCACAGTCATCCAGCTGATTCACCTCCAAGCCTACCGAGGACACGTGTGGTCCATGCGCTCGCACAAGTGCTGCGAGCACCTAATGCAGTGGAATTGCTAATGGCCGCTCGCCCGGAGATTCTGCAGCTGTCGGAAGATGCTGAGTCCGAGGCCAAAGGGTTCGGGATGGTAGGGCTGCCGGCATGCCGGCTTCGTGTCAGAATGGCCTGCGCCGGCGCATGTGCTTTTGTAAATCGTTTTATGCGAAGTAGGGTCGTCTGGTGAGTGCAAATAAGAAGAAGTGTGTATATGGCTCCTGGGCAGTACTGGTAAGTGTGCACTCGTCCTTTCGGGAACTGGTGCCAGACACTCGTGTCCGCATGACTGGTAATGAAACCCTTAGGCCACGTACGCCCACCCTGGTAAGACATGCTCAATCTAGACAGGTCCATCGATTGTTGAAAGCATGGGTGCAGCGTTTCTGTCAGCAGACGCTGCAGCTGAGCGGTGTAGAGACGGACGACCAAGCCATCAGTGCCTTGTGGAGGCTTGCAAGGTCGGCACAGGAAATTGTTGCTTGCTGCGCCCCAAGCGGTGCAGATGTCCCAGACATCGTTGTGGCCTGGCTTGAAACCTTTTTTTCGAGCTGCGCCGGCGCAGAAGCGCAGCTCAACGAGGAGCGCCTTCGCAACCTCCTGACCATGCGAGAGCAGACAGGTGCTGGCCATGCGAATCCAGAAGAGGAATTGCTCCAAATGGGGGTCCAAGTCCGCAACCTTGAGAACAGTATGCTGCCCGCGGTGCTAGCACGATTCAAGGAAGCGGAGCAAGGTTCTGAGGATGAGATCTTCACTTGTGAGCAGATCGTCCAAGACGGCCGCGCAATGCCAGGGCTGTCTGTCATTTTGCGCAGAAGCCCAGGAGCTGAGACAGGCTTTCATGTCTTCATTTATCACACTTTGTCAATCCGTCAGTGGCAGGCAAACTGTCTCTGCGATCCCTGCACTCGAGCCGCACTGCGTGCTGAGGATATCCTTCCAGTTAGTTGATGCGTGCCTTCATTGAGGCATCGGAAGCTTGAAGGTTTGCTTCAGGATGACCTCTCAGCTGATTGAATAGGAGTAGGAATCTCCCATGCCTGTGGAGTGTCTGTACAGTTAGAGCCACTTTGCAGTTTCAAGTCGTTTAGAATTTGGGCCACACATGTCCCCATGTGCTGCAGGCCCTCGCAAAAAAAAAAAAAACACGAGTGCTGATGTTAAATTCAACGGCAAGGGCAAGGCATGCCGGCACATGCGCCAGCACGTAGGACCCGGGACCACTCGCGTTTCTTTCCATGCTGTGTGCCTCAAGCAGCCGCCTCTCCGACACTCCAGGCCCAGTCCCGGCTGGATGCGGAGCGTTTGCAGGCTCACGGCTCACCCTAGAAGAGTTTACTCGTGCTTCGATTCGATACGACAAGTTGGCAACGGATGGGCCATTGTGGCAGCCCACAGGCCCTACAGCACAGAGAAGCTGTCATTACGGCAGCGCACCAGGAAGCACAGGCACGCTACAAGAAGGCGCTTGAAGAACATGTTGGGCGGTGTTGCAGCTAAAGGTGGCTACAGCATGTTGTGCTGCTCGAGGCGACCCGCAGGCACGAGGATTTGCAGAAGCAGCCAAAGCCTGAGGTTGCTGTCGATTGAGCGGCGGATTGGGCACATCCTCCATACTGATATGCCTGCAGGCTGGACAAGGGCAGAGAGTTGCTTGGCCTGAGATGCGCCGAGTTTCGCCGCATGCCTTGGCCCAGAGCTCAGGAAGGCGGACATCCTGCTTGGAAAGATCAGCTCGACGGCGGAATAGACCTTGCCGTCGAGGACGCCGGGCATGCAGCTTCGGGATGGCGCCTGCATGGTGGTTCACGGTCGTCAGGTATGTTTTTGTTTATCGGGTTTGCGGGTTGTTCATGCACGGTGGGGTTGCGGGTGTAATCAGTTGCTTGGCATTGCCCGAGTGTGAGCGTTAAAAGTACGTGAGAATCAACGTAAGGGCTCCGAGTCAGAACATGTGTTGCTGAGGAGTTCAGCGAGCGGGGAGCTACGATCTCCGGTGGGACCTCACCCGACTGCGAACACAAGTGTGGATGCCATGTATGTACGTTGGCATTAGTATTCCTGTTCTCTATCTAGACTACAGTCTGATCTAGGTATGGTACTAAATTTGAAACCTGACGCTTATCCACATGTCGAGTTCAACTAGGATCTGCAACTCTGGGGGACGGGGCGAGCTGCAGTCTGCAACTCTTCGGCCAATGTGCCACGGGAGGGGTGCCGCGGTGCAAAAATCGTGCGGCAGTTGATTAGCGTGCTGCCTACTACAGATCGATGCTTGCATAAAGTGTTCATCCAGCACTCACTTGTTATCGCTTATTGCCTTAGTGCACTTGCTGAGACCACGTGCCGAGCAGCTGAAACGGCCGCATGGCGGGCTCACGAGCACGAAGGTAGTGCGACGCAAGGCTGCAGCCATGCTCGTGGAAACGACGCCACCGCGCAGTCCCTCGGCTCTGTTGCATCCAATGCCGTGCTTTCATGTTGGTGCTTGGCTGACGCGGGCTCTGCGCTATGGCACACTTGGAACTGGATGCGTGACGCAGCGCTTGGCTCGAACAGCGTTACTGCATTCGTCGAGAAGGTTCTGAAAAGCTGGCTGGCCGGGCCCTTCGATGCTTCGCTTCGCTGTTAAGCTTGGAAAAAATGACATATAAGTTACGTGTCGAAGAATTTTTGCATCAAACAGCATGGCAAGGACCAGAAGGCTTCCACCACGACAGAGGAGCAATGAAGAGTTTGCCACGCATGCCACGGCAGATGTATGGATCCATACTGCTGTGAGGCGATCATGTCGCATCAGCAGCCCAAGCTATCCCAACACAGCCGGCGCAAAGCACGCAGTCCTGGGCCAAGAGTTCTGTGGGAGGGTGGAGTTCACTGGGAGCAGTGTGAGAAGCCTAGTCGCATCGAGGCACGAAGGACGCCACACCTCCATGGATGAATTCCACGCTCCTTGGCTCGAAAGCTCGGAGCTATGAGCATCCCAAACAGTGCCTGTGGGCTGTAGATCTCGCGCTGAGGGGGTGGCTTGCCTGGCAGACTTTGCCAACACCGTGGCCTGCATCGAGTCTTGTTGGCAGTTGCAGTGATACGAGAAGGGGCCAGCCTTTGGGGCTTATGGGTTGGTTTAGGGGCCGCTTCTTGCAGACAGGGCCTGAGGGCAGCTTCGCAGCTTCCTTCTTCTCACATCTGCCTACTGCAACGTGCCGTATCATTGGAGAAGTTGCGAGCTTGCCAAAACTAGCTAAGCTCTCAAGTACATCAATACATGAAAGTCGCCGTTAAACTCTTGTGAGTACGCATGCCTTGTGAAGCTGGACTCAAGACCTTTGGCTAGCATAGGTCCGTTTGCATACACAGCCGACGTTTCGTTGATGCTTTTTAGCCGAGGACCAATGCACTTTGGACCGAATTGATATGTTTGATGTGGGCCCTGGATTACCCGACTGGCAGACTGATCCACGTAGGATGGCCAGCATGGTCTCGGATGCCAACAGTTATGGCAAGATCGGTATACAGTTACAGCTCCAAGTTGTAGTAATCCAAGAAAAGCGCGTCGAGGGAAGCGGCTGGCCAGGCCCGTGCCCGCAAACCCTTGAATGCCCGGGTCAGGAATTTTCCGCAACCGACTTCATCAATGCTGAGTGGGCCGATTCGCTCGGCCACCGCATCAGCCGCCCGTCGGCAACAAGTTCGAATTTTCGGCGAAGCAGCCGGCAGCTGCCACCCTGGCCCAAGCATCTCAGTGGTCGTAGAGGTGTCTCCTCCGGCAAGAAGGCGAACAATCTTCAGGCATGCCTCTCAAAGCCGTGTCCTGGCTAAAGCACCGAGAGTCACTTCCGCGCCATTGTGTCCACTTCATGTTGCGGAAGCAGACCGATGCTGCCTGTCGAGGAAGAAGCCGGACATCCTCCTGAACCTGAAGCCGGTAATTGGCTTGTCCGTGTGGCAATGCGGCTGCTTGGGAAAAAGTACAGTCACCCCCATCAGCATGAGAAGATGTGGGTTTGGTTCATACTTGCAGCACTCCATGCCACCATGCCATCGTTGCGAAGCAGGCAGTATCTCGAGTGGCACTGGCACGTTGTCCGAGGAAACGCTTTCCTCGATCCTGCTACCAGTACGACGGAAAGGCTTTGCATGGCTTTGTTGCTTGCAGGGCTCAAGACCTTCAAACCGAAGCCCCCGCGTTGCAGCAAATAAGGGGTGCAAGGTCAGTCGTGATGCCGGGTGCATACGATCATTCTTTCAGGCTGTGTTGGCTTTCGGAAGGTGGTCGCGTCTCGGTATGGGCACCGCGGCTTGCATCATTCCCGTGCTTGCAGCTGTATTTTCACGAGTCAGTTTGTGTGCAGAAACTGCAGAATCCATCCATCCCCAAATGAGCTGTTTGAGTCTTGAGGTGAAGCTGGACAAGCATGCAGACAGCACCGATGCGACTTCCTTAGTCTCGGCAATAGACGTTGCGAAATTTGTGGTAGGGGATGCATCTGTGTCGAAAACGGTTTGCATGAAGAACAGCTGAGAATGAATGAAGGCATGATTTGTGAGTTTTTAAGCATCAGATGTGCGAGGATGCAGAAGGCTCGGAAGAGCTTCATTCTGGAACAGGCCACTGCAAGTAAGAAATGGCCGCTGCCATAGTTTTTGTTGCAGGCACGGGCCCTCTGTAAACTGTTGAGACACCCTGCAGACCTCGGGAGGCTCTTGGAGTGAGAGCCGCCAGTGCAGCAAGGACAGTAAGGAAGAGAATTGAAATCCCAACTGTGTGATCTGCCAGTCCTGAGGGCTATTTGATGGCCTCAGCCTGTCCTCGCTATACATTCGCCGAAGAAGCGACTATGCCAGTGTCGTTGAGAGGCTTTCAAAAGCTGTGCTGCGTCTTAGTCAAGACTTGCTGATTTCACCGGCGACAGTACACTAGTGCCAATGCAATGAGTTTCAGAATTCGATGCCCGTTTCCCGTTCACGCGGCCTTCCACGTGGCACGAGCAGCCTGATCTATTCTTACTAACAGCGGTCAGGGCTGAAATGCGAAACCACAGCTTGCCTGCGCGTGGCCCCGTTTGGTTTGGCACACTTGTCGAAGTTCCCCATGACCGGGCAACTTTAAAGAGCAGGAAGCTTGCTGCCTGTGCCCTGTCGTCGACAGGTCTAGACATGTGACTCCAAAAGGACAGAGAGTAGGAGGTCAGGCGGTGCATAGGAGCACTACGAAGAGTCTGCTCGTCCATGTTCGAATCTCGTGCCACTTCGAAAACTTGTTGGCTGCTGTACGATGTTGAGCGGCCACAAAGCCGGGCATCCGTGACAGGAGCCTCGGTATTATTGTTATCTGGAGGTGGAAAGAACCCCAGCGTAGAACAACAGGACGGAACACCCGTTTCCGTCTCATCAACAGCAGTGAGATAGTCAGCTTCATGCGACGCTTGTGACCAGTCTTGTGAGATCATAACAAAAAGTCTGCTGAGCACGGGGAGCGACCACTACAGGTGTAGCAGTTCTGAACTGGCAGGTCATGCGCGGCAGGCTCCATCATGTTGTTGAAGTCGATGATGTGAGCACTGCACGTGCGGTGCTTGGCCGAATCTGAGAGCGGCGAGTGGAGCTGCTGCTACTCTTCGAGCCCCACTGGCTGAATCTTGCGAAGCAAAGTCTTTTTCACCTACGTAATCTTCTATATGCTTCGTTCTGGCAATTTCTGCATCTATGCTGCTTCTGAGGCGCAGACCAGGCACCTGCTCGCTGCATGTGTTGGCTTGACGCGGGTTGACACTCGGGCCCATCGTGAGGCGTACGTGTTTGCGAACAGGCCAAGTCAGGACCTGACTTGGAGACACTTTCGGACGCCTCCTGCTCGTGTTTCACTTCGCACGAGTTCTCGGTCCCCAGCATAGACTAGCTGCTGTGGAGGACCACACTACTGCATTTCGCTCAGTTGAGCGCCTCAGCCTCAGGCGCAGTGGGAGTGGGCATTTTCTGAAGAGCACGAATTTGAAAGGCATTGAAAGTTTTTCTTGCGAAGCCTTGCTTTCCGTTGCTCTTGGCTCCAGGGCCGAAGATAGGGCTCTACGTGACTAGCCGGAAGCAAGGTGTCATGGCTGCAACGACGGCCGATGCATCTGCTGCAATGGGACGCATTCCTCAGCCCGTGGGTGCCGAGAAGAAGGGCAGCTGCTCAGATCATGGCTTTTGTAACTTGTCAATCAATCAACTCAAGGCTGAAGTGACAGTCAGGCTTATTGCAAGTCAAAGCTGTTATTTTCCTTGTCCTGCACTGCACGAGGCAGTGAAGAGGAGCAGAACAAGGCCTACATGGCAGTGCTGCAACGCCTGAAGTCTGAGGGCGTGCTGAAAGCACTGCGGCCTGACTCACGAGGCACCACCAAATCACTCGACTCACTCGATCAGAACTTCATGTATCTTGACTGGTGTGGCGGTCCGAACGGCTTGAATTTCCCTGAAGGTATGCTGCGCATCAACGTGCCCTTCGCTGGTAAGTTCGCAGAGCGCGACCTGCTGATGGCCTTCTTGCGCACGGAGGTGTTGAATCGGCGGAGTGACATACGCTTTATCCACATTCTTGCCGCTTGGCGCAAGCTATTGCAGGTGCTATTTACGTTTGACTCGGCTGCTTCGGAGACATCCAAGATTCCACAACCGGAAGGGTTGAGTGTGCATCGCTGGGGCTCACCGCCAGGTGTCGTCATGTGGATAGCGAGGTCCATGGATAGGCCTAGTCGAAACGACAAGTGTTGGAGGCCTCAGCGGAAGGAAAATGGGTGCGGAACAAGAGCGAGTTCCTCACCGCACCGAAACCAACAGCACCATCTGCTCTGAGAAAAAAGCCACAACTCCAAACAAGGTCACGGTTTTCTGCTGTCCAACCGCCCGTGGGAGAACTGTGGGCGTTGACATTTGGGGATCTTGTATTCTGGGGGGGGTGCCGGGGCCAGGGTGGTTGGGGTTGCGGTAGTATTGGCCGTTGCAGTATGCGCATTCCATAGCAACAGTATCAATAACGGCAACAGGCAACATAACAGTAACAGCTTTTTTGTTGATCCCTTGTTGATTTTGTTTTCTGATCTTGGGTACACCCTCCAAATAAGAAATTTTGATTTTGTCTTGATCCCTATTTTGATTCGTTGAACTGGTTTTGATCCCTAGTTGATTCTATGTTGATCCCTCAGCCTCTGTCGACTGCCTCAGCCCAACCGCAGTGCCACATGCGCCAGATGCACAGACTTGTGCGAAAACCGTTTCACCACTCAAGGGGACCGGGAGCCTTAAAGAGGTGCGTGCTATGTTGGACCGCTTTTATGGAATTCACAGCCCAAATCGGGCGAACTGAACGTGAGGATGCAGCATTTGCGGTCACATCGGTGGTCCGGACATTCTGATACAAAAATCACAATTTCCATCGATACTTTGCAATTTCCCCCGACCTTGCTGCAGCTGTAGAAGCGGAGCTTTGCCAAAGGTCACAGACGTCCAGGACTTCTTCAGTGAGAAGACAGATCCTCTTGTGCGAGACCCGCACATCTTTATTTCGTACCTCGTGCAGGAGCGTCCAGATCTAGCGGCATGTGTTCGAAAGATCTCAGATGTTGAATAGAAAAAGTAGCAGCAGCAATAACCAGTGTTTCATCGTCGAGGCTAAGATTAAAGTGAGATCATTGAGCTGCCTAGCTACTGAGCATGCTGCCACGCGGGAGCCAAAAACTGCTGCTAGCTGACCTTCGCCAACCCCCACACCATTGTTTGTCGTTGGTCTGTTGGCACATGTTGGCACTGGAGCTGCCCGGGTATCGGCTGTTTTGCGTGAACTTCTGAATTTCACTCGCCTTGCATGGCGGAGTCGGCCGAGTCCGATCCTCGCGAGGATGGAACAGTTCCTCTTCCTCCTGCTCAGCTGTTGCTGGGGATGCATCCAGATTGCAGCAGCCGGTTCTTGACCGACGCCCGGCAGCAATTTTGTGCACGTGGCCAAGATTGGTTCACGACCACGCTACATCACGCTACTGGTAAGAGCAGTCCTTTGCCTTTCGGTCAAAGGACACTTGTCACTAGGCCCTAGGCATTGCGTGGAGCAGCTCAACAGCTTGTTGAATGTAAGCACAGACGAAAGCAGCACCGTGCCGAGGATTTCGGGATGCCCTATCGTCGATATTACTACTTATGGCAGCGGATTCTGCACCAGACGGCAATGAGCTGCACCCAGGCTTGCCTCCAAAACGTCCTGGCGGTTTCCCGTTCAAGCTTTGTCCTGCAATTGGGATCCGCGATCTCCCTGCAGGTCGCTGTTTTTTGCAACCTCTGGCTCGAAGAGGCCATCGAGGTGCAGAACGTGACACGACATGCAGGCCGCAAAATGCGCTTGTGGGGAGGAGAGGGCAGGGCCCCTTGAAGAAGGACGTGTCAGGTCGTGTAGTTCCAGCTTGTTGAATGGAGACTGGCAGGTATGATGTCATCAGCGCCGTTGAAGAATGCTACTCGGATTCCTGGTGCTCCATCTTGCGAGGAATGCAGCCAGAAATAAACGTCGGTTCAGCTAAATGTTACCAAGGAGCTGTATTATGGCCAAACCGTCACCTCGCCATTGACTGCAAACAAGCGCGACAGGCTCTGAAAGTTGCTACCCGATAATGCACCCGCAGCCTGCGAACCAATTCCCGAGAGGTTGCCTTTCCAACGACAGTTTCGTTGCGATGTGACTTATTGTTGCAAGCTCAAGAGCCTGGTGTGCGGAAGGAAGCCGTTCCACTACATCGTCATTGCAGATCGCGCACCTTTCCAGGTAGGCCGACGCAAGCTTCGAGCTTCTCTTCAGGGCCATGTTGGCACGCAGCCCATGCAGGTTGTGCCGAAGATCGTGACGAGTGATGAGGACTACACTGGCCCCTACCACAATTTCTGGACGCTGGGCTTGCCTGAAGCGCACGTTCTCTTGATCAGTCGGCGTTCTTCGGATCGCAAGCGCCGGTTCAGAAGAAAACTGTTTGCTCGCGCTGCCTGAGGACGCTCACGGAAGAGCGTACACTCGAGGCTGGGCCTCCCTTCCAGAGAGCGCTTGACACCCATGTGCTGCTTTAGGCCATGAAGCTGGGAAACGACCTCGCATGCACCACGGTGGCACATGGTGGCACTGCTTGCGACCTCCTGGGTTTTTCTGCCTGTGAGTCTTAGCATCTCCGAGGGAGAGACACCAGCTCTGGCTCGGAATCGGGCTCAGACATCTCGTCCGATAGCGACGAAAATGAGAGCATGTGGTGAAGTTGTAGATCGCCTGGGATGGCATGCGCAAAGTTGACGCTGCTAGCTGGTCTCACATTGGACCTCAGTGCTGCGACTGCAGCAGCTGGATGAGCTTGCGTGAGTAGCTAAACATCATTACGTACATAGCTGCTCGATTTGTACACTATTGGCTTGCAAGAATGTGGCCACCACCTTGTCCCCAGCCTGAACTGATTTTTCCTTATGCTGAAGAGAGAGAAAGGCGCCGAATGTGTTATCCAGCCTGGGCTCTGGCTCCGCAGATTTTTCAGAAATTCGCGGGGAGATATTTACGGCCACATCATCGTGGATGGACGTAACCTACGCGCGGGTGAAGTCATCCTGCCACGCTTACAGATGCAAGCTTGGCCCAGGTCTTTGCCAGCATGCGGAGCGCCAGGGGACACATGCTTGGCAGCAGGACACTGCAATGCCGTGATATGCGTCGTTATGGATATGCTTGTCGTTTTAGTCGTTTGGTTCGATGTATCTTCATGCGGCTGCTGCTGCTGCAGCGCCTCCCACCACCGACTACTGGTACCACTAGTGCCACTACGACGAAGACGAACACTACGACAACGCCTACTACTACTACTACTACTACTACTACTACTAGTACTACTACTACTACTACTACTACTACTACTACTACTACAAGTACTGCTACTACTACTACTACTACTACTACTACTACTACTCTGTGGATGGAAGCAAT